CTCCTTCCACTGATCGGGCAATTTTTCCTTATGCCAAATAAAAGTAATTAGGATCTTAGAATGTAATATTTCACCTCCTGCTTGAATATGTTCTGCCAGAATTTGATCACTACCTGGCAACTTATACCTTTTCAACTTTGCAATAGCATTTCAACCTCAAAAGGATTAGGATCAGGTACTAACAGCTCAGCTGTATGAATTTCTGTCTGCCTAACAACACTGACCCTATGTACATTCAATAATTGAGAGAAGTAGTTCTTCCACCTATTCAAAATGTTGTGGGAATCTGCAAACAGATCACTATTCTAATCCTTCACTAAGTTACTTGAAGTCATTTATTTCTCTATACAGGTCTCTAATGTTCTTCTTACTGTTCGTTGCAAGCTTATCAATTTTGTCTTTCAGATATTCCCTCTCTTTATTCCTGAAATGCCTACTGGTTTCACATCTTATACTCTTCAATCATCCCCATTTATTTTGCTTGGATCGTGTAGCCACTGCAATTTGGCTTATTTCCTTTGATCTAATATTTCTGAGCATCCTTCGTCGAATCATGGCTTATGCTTGTTTAATTCATAACCTAGACTCTCTTTCCCTGAAATTTTTAGATTCTCTCTAATAGTTCCCACAAGCTCTATTAACCCTTTGGCGCAGTCATTTAAATTCCGCGGCCGCGTCTCCGGCGGTAATATATTCAGCCGGCCATTTAAATTTTGCTCGAAAATGATTTATTCATCATTGTTCTTAAATTCTATGAGATAGGAACATGAAACTTTCACTAAAATGATCTTAAAATGTGGCTTTATAACCTTACCTTATAATATGAGCGCCCTGTATCTCGGCAATGGAAGGAGGTTGTTTAGTATTTNCAGGTCCACAGAGTTCTCAACCATTGGCCGAACATCAGTCAGCCCGAAGATAAACCAGACTCAGTCGCCTTCCTGCCCTATGTTGGAACTATATTCAACCATATCAGCAAAGTGGTGTCCCGGCACAACATCAAATCAGGAGGCCTGCCTCCAAAGAAATTATCTAGTTTTCTCTGGCCGGTCAAAGAGTCTGGGACTAAGGACAACAGGTGTATACAGAATCCCCTGCGAGTGTGGCAAGGTCGATATTGGGCAGATGGGCCGTTCTGTGGACACAAGGTTCAAGGAGCATCAGTGACAAATCCACCTTGAACATTCGGACAACTCGGCTGTGGCTGAATACAGCATCAATTTGGGACACCACATTCAGCTTCAGAATACCTCAATCCTTGCCACCAAGACCCAATATATGGATCGCATCATTAGGGAAGCCATTGAGATTGAATTCCATCCCAACAATATGAACAGAAAAGGGTGGTTTTGTCTCAGCATGTCATGGAAGCCACTCATCTGTTCCCTCAAGAAACCTCTGGGACTTGACACCAGATCCACAAGGCCACATAGGTCCATGCCCAACTAGCTTCGCAACCCCCTGAGCTTTGAGGTTAATACCCTCACTTTACAAGTAACCCTTCCTTCCCCCCCTCCCGACACATACTCTATACCTGCTCTGGCCTGCTACCTGCTGGCACACCTCCCCAGAACCTTCCCCTCCTTCCTCTCTACCAATTCCCAATGTAGCCCTACTCACTTCCCTTCCTTCTCTTATAAAGCTGCGTTTACTCGACTGGACTCAGTCTGTTGCTCCTGCTCATGCTGGTTCACTCGCAGATTTCTTCTTGTCTTCTATTCTGAAGATCGAGGTGATATGTTCCTCCGAAACGTCGGTTAACACAACTTCTACACGGCGCCACATCCCAGAAGACCGCTTTCTTCATAGTCACTGCCATGAAAACCTCAAATCTTACATCAAGTATACCTGACCATCTTTTCCTGTTTATCAAAATTTGGTCAATTTGATTGTGAGTCTTTACATCAGGAGATGTTCAAGTAAATTTATGAATGTTATGATGTGGGAACATTGTAAGATTTTTGGATGTGACAAAGTTTACTACTCTAACTACATTATCATTATTATTTCTGTGAAAACTTTCAATCCCAACTGTTGGTTTGAAAATGTCTTCTCTACCTATTTTGGCACTGAAATCTAAAAAATTTTCATGTGGTATTTCAGGAATTTATTGAATACACATTCTAGTTCTTCACAGAACCTGTCCTTCATATCATCAATTTCATCTTCTGTTGGGGCATGAACATTCAGAACGGTAATATCACACCAGTGACCTCTCAGTATTATGTATGACATCCTATCACTATTGAACTCTCTCCTCTTAACTGTTGATATAATTCTCTTATATACAAAAATACCTATACCTAATTCATGATTCTCATTTCCTTTCCTATAGAAATGTGTACATTTGTCTGCTGCTTTGGTGCCACCCCTGTCCCATTTGACCTCCAGTACTCCCACTAAATCCAGCATATATTTTGATACTTCTTGCACAACTGTCTTGAGGAAACCTGCCCTGTACAGACTCCTTAGCTCAGGTTGTTTATGAAAAGAATCCTTATAAGTCCGACAACATTCGTGACACTTCGTAACAAGCTTATTTTTTACAGTGATGAGTTGTTAGCCCCACACCCAACAATCAAGTTTGAGGACCACACCTTGTCTGGTGTCCACAACTACTTATTCAGTATACGAGGGTAAGTCAATAAGTAAGTTACAAATCAATACAGAACTCAAACAAATAAGAGTACTGATTTGAAAAATGTTTTTATTTCTCAACATAATCTTCCTGTACATTGAGGCATTTGTCCCATCGTTTCACAAGCCCTTGAAAACCAGCAGCATAAAATTCTTTTGGCTGCTGTTGGAACCAGGCAGTGACTTCACTACCTACAGCTTCATTGTCAGGAAAATGTTCAGCCGAAAGATGATGTTTACGAGGGCCGAACAAATGGAAGTTGCTTCGAGGAAGTTTGGGGCTATACAGAGGATGCTCAAAGACTTCCAACTTGAAATTTTGCAGCGTTTCAGTTATCTTGTTGGAAGTATGGGGATGCACGTTTTCATGCAAGAGCAACATGCCTTTGGTGAGGAGTCTTGGTTCCTTCCGTTGAATGGCCTTGCAAAGTTTCCTGAGGATCTTACAGTAGGAGTCAGCATTTATGGTTTGTCCTTGAGGATTGAATGCAGTGAGCAGTATGCCTTCGTGATCCCAGTCACCGCCTGGTTCTGACAGCAGCCCAAAGAATTTTATGCTGCTGGTTTTCATGGGCTTGTGAAACGATGGGACAAGTGCCTCAATGTACAGGGAGATTATGTTGAGAAATAAAAACATTTTTCAAACCAGTACTCTTATTTGTTTAAGTTCTATATCCATTTGTAACTTACCTATTGACTTACCTATGTATTTGCAGCTACCGTCCATATCTAGAGGCTGCCTCCTACATGCACAACCTGAGTACATGCCATGCTGTGATGATCCACTTAAAATGGTGTTGCTTGGCTACTTTACAATAAAAGTCAAAGGACATCTCTCACCTTAATTAACTAACTTAACATAGCATAATTTAACATGTCAAAAACACATATATGTATGCCTGGGAGCCACAAGGAGGATTGGTAACCAGCAAGCTAATCATAAAACTGTGAAATGACGGAGAGAGAGATTATATCCTGGCTACAGGAAGTGAAGTCACAGCCAATCTGTTTGGAATCTTTCGTCTTTCGGTCAGGCTCCATACACAACCGTCAGTCCATGCACTTACACCTGAACTGGGAGGGGGGAAGAATACAGAAATATGGAATGTCCACAAAAGAAACATACATGTTTCCTCTGTACAAACAGCACGCATACTTTTCATTACAATGAGATGGGATATCTCACTGAAGTCCTGAAATATGTTACATTTTAAAGAAACGATTACCTGGCCAATGGATCAGCCCTGGAAGTCCAGTCAGTTGCCATCCTCACCCTCCAAACATCTCACCATTGCATTTTTTCAATGGCGTTATGTATACTAGTTTACAGGGTTGAAAAACTTGATCATTAGAAATGCTGGTAAGAATGTGGGAGGATGACAGTCACCACTTGGACATTTTACAAACTACACACAGCAGACATACTGAAAGGGCCAGATAAAATATTTGGCAGACAAGGTCGATGATGTGATCTCAACCTTACTAAAAGTTTCATCTTTTCATCTTCTTTAATAATATAATTATTAAGCAAAGAATTCATATGATTCTTTTGTGGACAGTCTGTATAATCAACTTAATTAGTATACAAATGATTTATGTTAAGACTCTAGTGAGCTATATACATGGGACTTCAACAGAATTGAAATTCACAAACATTCCAGAAAGTGTAAGTCAAGTGCTTGATGGTGCCATGCTGAGAGAAGTCAAACACTGATATATGAAAGTTATGAGATACTGCACCACACATGTAAATTACATCAATATATTCCTGTACTCATATTTCAATGTCAACTTATGAATGTTATGACTGAATATGAAATATGCCTACAAAATTTTAAAATATTTTATTTATTGCATCTCCACTTCTCAAACCTCCCTTTCATATTTAAAGTCAAACTGTAAAATTGCACTAATACCTCTGTGCCTCTGATTAAACTAAGCTGGGTCACCCAACAATATGTTACACAGGAAAGAGGGTTATTCTGTGTGCGCAATCAGACATACCCTTATTCAATTATTTTCTCAATTGAATCACGTCATCAAGGAGAGAGGGCAGCAGGTAATACCAAATGAAAAACAATATATTAAATCCTGGAGTCACATGTTGGCTACCTCTGTGGTCTAGTGATCAGAGTTCCTGGCTACAGATACAGTGGCTTGATTCCCGTTGCCACCAGATTTTCTGAGAAGTAGTGGGTTTGGAATGGGGTCCACTCAGCCTCAAGAGGATAACTATGGATCTACTTGAATGGAAAAGTAGTGGCTCCAGTCTAGAAAACCGAGATTAACAGTTGTGGGAATCTGTTGCAATGGCCACGTGACACCCTCTATCTGCAAAAGTTGGCACTAACTTCTTCAACATGCGACAGTCGCTCGGTCAGTACAGTTCACTTGCAGACTAAAAACCATGGAGTTTTAGAGTCAAATCTTGCTTACCTATGCTTGATTGTGATGGTGAAGAGTGTAAACCTGAGGACAGTGGTCCATTCTCTACAGCAACAAACTGCTTCTCTCCCCTGTCATTTCTGTAGTGTGACGGTAATGGGATTTCATCCATCTCAATCACAAGTGTGCTGTTACATGTGGGACACGTCAACATCTTCTCTCCCACGCCTGAAAGTATGTGCATTTACACAATTAAAAACAAAATCATGAAGGATACATACATTTAAATAATTTCTTTATTCTTATATTCTTTCTTTAAATAACTCATTCTTTACGTGGTGGATCTATACAGCCACTCCCCCCTACATCTTCATGGCATAGTGCTTGATTACTATGTAATTAACATTACAAATTCAACATTTATTATTATTATTCTTCACCTTAAAAGCTACTGACATAACACTGTGCCTCCTAATGTTTGACACAAAACTGTTGATGAAATTCACTGTGTACATTAAACATTCAGTGTTCATTTTCTGTTTCTAAAGCCACAGTAAATATCTCAAATACAGTGGCATACATGTTTATGGGTTCCTTAAAGAGCATGAGAAGTGATGAATTTAACAACAAAAAAGGAAACTTAAAAACAGGAAATTTAACAGTGAAATTATTGACTTTAGATCCATGGAACTGAATTATAAATGAGAAAAAAACCTTAAATCAAGCAATATTAGATGGGAATTCCACTGAATTCAAGCTTTTCAAATGTCCTGTCAACATACCTTGTGATTTACTGTTTCAGGTTCCACTGAAACATGATTAACTGCCTAGGTTATGTAGCATCAAATGGTAGAATAATTTGTATATCATGATTAGGGAGAAGTTTGTAAGGAATGTCTTGGAATACCTTAAGGTACTGCTCTGATAATTTTCAGAAGGGAGTGAGGAAAGCGACAAAAAATTAATTAGGAGTAGCTAGCTTCCAGGCAGAGATTTCAAACTGGGACCTTATAAATACAAAGATGTGCTACACATTTGGTATGAACCACATTACTACAATAGGAAAGACAGACAATGCTCTCCATAGCTACTGCTCATAACAAGGCAAATGAATTACCATTGCCCTATAGCATTACCATTGTTCCCTCCTGCTACCAGTTTTCATCCATAGTTGCATACCTGTAACAGGTAGTTCTTTTGAGAATTGAGTAGAACATTTCATGCAACGAAACACAAGCTGATTCATAGCTGTCAATGGTCTAGCATCCAGCACTTCACCCAGGGTCCGCACAAGCTTCTGCAAGGATCACATCACGTGTCAGTGTAAGTCCTTCCCAAATTACACATTATATGCATGAAAAAGTGCACTTCATAGTAGCAGCAGAGAGAACTGCAAACCTTGTCTTTAGTACAACATTTCACCTTTCATTCTTCTCTCCACATATGAAGAACAATTGCAGGAGGCACACAGAAGTAATATTTTGTGACAATAGTATAGTAATACAATTACTGGCTTTCTGGACATTATCCACTCTTCCACTTCTTATTCAAAACAGTATTGCAGAGACTGACATCCTATCTCTGGACAAACTGGAACTAACTCTACCAACTGGGCCCAACTGAGTACATCTTTTACCTGAGGATGGAGTTAAAGTCCAATCTCCAAAATGTTATACTAAACAAAAGATGGAACAATGGATAATGTCCAGAAAGTCAGTAATTGTAAGCAATACCTTGATTCATGCAAGAAAATATAAAAATGTAATGCTGTATTATCTTTCATTTTTATTTGTAGCAACACACATGAACTATCCGCAATATTATCGTAAGGATGTTTCATTAAAGCCTCTCTTCTTCTGAACCAAGCAACACCTCCTATTACATATCCATCCTATCAACAGTCAATTGTTTTCCTTCCTTTTAGGATCAGTAATTGGGTTACAATTTGGGGACAGAATGTCACATGTTAGATACCTTAATTACTGCTTAGGAACCTCTACAGCCCATTATGATGGCTGTACAGTCTAAGGCAGTGGTTCTCAAACTTTTTACCTCTGAGCCCCCCTGAGAAGAGAAAATACTCTCAGGCCCCCAGCCTGTTTTTTTATCAAAATATAAGTCATGGTATGTTTGACATTTCATTCAGTTTATTTTGTGTTTTTCTACATGCTATTTAGCAGTTTTCTTACTCAAAATTAAAGTATCACAATACTAGGCCTACAATAAAAATTAGTTTTAACACTTGCAATTAACCAAAATATGTATCGAAATGAAACGATATTTAACTATCAAGTATTTAATTTTTTCTGCAAAGAAAATCAAACATTTAAATGTCAAAGTTCAGTGTGATGGATGTGCCTGATTTTGAGAACAAAGTTTATCAAAACGTGGTGTAATATCACAAATGGCCACTCTAACTTCTTTACCAATATTTAGCCTTGAAATATACTTTGACTTTATAGCTGCCAAAGCAGAAAAGCCTGTCTCACATAAGTAAGTTGTTGTGAAAGGAATCAGGATTTTCAATGCTTTTCGGCTCAAAGTTGGGAATTCCATGCCAATATGTATCCAGAACTCCAACAAAGACAATTCCTTAAATTTACTTTTTAATGAAGTATCACTAGTGAGNATTCCAAGAAAGTACAGTTGCCTCATTCCCTTGAAGTGAAGTGTTGAGGATATTTAGTTTCACAAATATATCTGTGAGGTAAGCCATTTTCAATAAAAAGTCCTTGTTGCTGAAACTGTCTGCCACTGAGTGATTTTCCCCATTTAAAAAACAGAACACCTCATGCCTCAGCTTAAACATTCTCTTTAATACCTTGCCTCTTGAAAGCCATCAAGCATCACTAAAAAACAACAGAGCAGTGTGTTCGGCACCCATTTCCTCACACAGCATTTTAAGAAATCTAGACTTCAGAGGATGCGGCTGCTGTCAAACTATCAACGCTGTCTCTGGCATACGCGTTTTATAACTGCCGGTAAAGAGAATAATTATTGGTTATTTTGAAATTCATGATAATTAAAGCCTGCACTCATCAAAAGTTTTTCTATATGTATTTTTATTTTTTTTACTTTTCTAATTGATTTAGGGCAGTTTTAATTTTTATCTGTAGGAAAGTATGCTGCGCCCCCTTTTCAAGCCCTTCGCCCCCCCCCCGGGGGTCGCGCCCCACAGTTTGAGAACCACTGGTCTAAGGCTTGAACTGTCTTTGCTCACTTGAACACTGGGATTGTTGTTTGGAATCCCACTCAAAGGCATGGATGTTTGTGTGTGAATTTATTAATCTTCAACTACACTTTGTGCAAAATGCAGAAATCAATCAGGACAGGTGGTACAAATAGTAACCATTCTGTTTTAAAGGGTTATGAATTCTTTAATCAAGAAAACATGAAAATGGCAAGATACTTAGGAAATGCTAAAACACTTATGGGCAACAAAGATGTACTATTAGCCAGGACCCTTCTGTGATATTGTGGTCAGGAGTGATCTATGAAGTAGTGAATTACTGACAGGACTCCTCTGTGACACAGTGAATTATTTCAAGACTTCATCAGATTCACATGGCACAGCAAAGGAAAAAACCTGGAAAGATCGATTTTCAGAGGCCACAGACACCTTGGGTTCCAGTCTACTCATATCTGAAATCAGTATTCAGTACAGTTACTTCTTATGAATAATTATGTTTTGAGGGCAACTTTTCATGAATTCTCCAAAGGCTGGCAGTGGGGACCATTCCAAGTGGTTCATGCACTTTCTGGTAAAGCTTATGGACTTGAAAGTTCACACCGAAGGGCATCAGTCGTGAGAGAGAACTTTATTACATTGTGCAGAACATCTGTATTTTAGATGAGTGAATCTGTTCAGAAAGAAATAAGATAAGGACATAGATAGTTTGGATGTGTCAAGTTTCTGTGAAATACTGGATTCTTTAGTATTGTGTCTACCTCTCAAATGATTAAATTAGTTTCATTGTTTGTTCAAGATTCCAGACACACTAAAAGGGATGTAACTAACTTCATGAAACTGAGCTCTTCTTGAGAAGCTGCTGATTCTGTATCCACTCAAGAACTTCCAAGCAATTTATGGAACCTGAAGGTTCATTACCATGTTCCCAAGAGCCCTCCACTGGTCCCTATCCTGAACCAGATCAATCCAGTCCATACCACCTCATCCCATCTCTCTAAGATCCATTTTAATAATATCAACCCACCTATGTCTTGGTCCTTCTAGTGGCCTCTTTCCTTCTGGCTATCCCACCAATATCTTATATGTATTATTCCCCTCCTCCTCCTCCTCCTCCCCATTTGTGCCACATGCCCTACCCATCTCATCCTCCTTGACTTGATAATGGGCTGCATGTTACTTGCCAATTGGCTCTGTGTGGTCTGCAAAAATACCCTTCCTCGGCAAAATATGTGTTAATCTCCTCTTTAAGGTGTTGAATCTTGTCATAAAAGCTTTAATGAAAGTGTTTACAAGATATTTCATGTAATTTTTCCATAGGCTCCCCAGAATCCTAATAAATAACTTAGAAGAGTATAAAATTAGTACAACTCACGGCTGTATGGAATGTTCTCGTTCAACCTAGTAGAACTTACTAAATTTAAATAAATGTTTCTGACCCTTACAGGTCCAATTCCTTATTTGTGAGCTTGTGCTGCCCAGTACTGAAGGGCACATATTTGTGTTGCTGTACTGGGATCAACATACTTTTTATGATGCAACTTGCAGGTAGGTGCCTAAGATACAACATAGGCTGTCAATGATTTGAGGTTTGGCAGGACTGGTTTAGACAGATGATGGAGTTGTACCCACTGTACTCAACCTATTTTTTTTCTCCTTTTGTGAGGAGGGAGGGGGGCTGACAGACCTAGCTTCATGATAGACTCACACAGAACTATACGCAGTGTGATAATTAAGTTCCCGAACTGAGGCCATAAGAACCACACAAAAAGAAAAAAAAAATTATTAATACCATCACTCAGTATAGTCTCCACTCACTTCTGTGCAATGTATATATCACTCATACAATGAATGGAATGCCAAGAAAACGTTTCTTCCTGTATCGCCTTCAGTTCTCTCATTACAGTCTGTTGGATCGATGGATCAGCCTCAAATCTCATCCCTTTCATCGCAATTCTTAATTTAGGGAATAGAAAAACGTCAACTTGTGCTAAATCAGGGGAGTTGGGTGAATGGGATTACACAGGGATCCCTCCTTTCACTCAGAGACAAAGACCAAAGAATGAGCTGGGGCATTGTCATGCAGGAACCACTTTCCTGAATCTCAGGTCTAACACAAACTCTAGTGACCAATTTCCTGATCACCTCTTTATGAAATTTACAGTTTACAGTCCAATTTTCTGGCACAAATTTGTGATGAATAATACCTTTAGCATAAAAAATGCAGTCAACATTGTTTTTGCCCGCGATTTTTTCATTCTCAATTTCTGAGCTTCTATGTACCTTCTATGCCATTCAAACACCTTGTTCTTGATTAACGTTCTTCACCTTACTCACTTTTAAACATTTTAAACCTTTCAGTAGCTGTTTTCTTTAATTTTACACAAAACTTCTTCGCTACTCTTTGAAACCTATACACACCATTTAAATAAACATCCCCGACAGATGGTGGTGTTAGTATTACTGTAATAGTGTCAGTTCAGGAACTTTATTGTCACATTGTGTATGAACCTTGAGACTGATACAGTCTTATGTTTTGGCTTCATTTCATTACAGGGTTCAGAGGTGCTCAGAGCTTCTACACTTATTTCAATTATATTTGCTGTTCTTTTGCCATTACTGAAGACTGGTTAATCCAGATACTTTGCATACTATGAATGGTATTCCCTGCAATTTAGTGAAAATCCCCAATGATCTTAGTAAAGGGAATATACTCTTCCCTTGAGACTGTTTGTGCTTCTTGGACATTTTCCATCATTAGGCAGAGATCTCCTGGGTTTTCCTCAGCCATATCAACACTCCAGTGGTGGTCAAATTCCTTGGGTTTTGGGAATCAAAGACCAAGATTCACTCTGTGGCAACCTTCCTTGCCATTTCCAAATTTAGTCCCATCATGTTTTAATTTTCTATATTAGAAACATAAAAAATGGCAGACACAAACTCGTGGAGTGACTGAAATGAAGCATGGTAATACATTTTCGATAAACATGCAACTTTCTTTTTAGGTAATCTGCTTTCAGGATGAAATGCAACAAAACAGGGCAGGCAAGAAATTTATATATAGCTTTTGGTTGAATGGCAATAACTACTGAATCACTAGAGAAACTTAGCACTGATAAAATCTGTGCATACATCATAAGTTGTTCCAAAAAAGATAATGATATGATGCTGATGATGATGATTTGTGACATATTTATAAGTGCACGAAATAACAGACTGACTTCACTGGAATGAAGATTTGTGTAAGTCTGGTATGCTAGCCTACATGCTAAACTGAATTTTGTTGTTAAATTATAGATGTATATTACCTAAATAATATATTATCAATGCAAGATTTGGTAGGACTGGAAATCTGTAACAACTTTTAGGGTGGATCATCTTCAGATGGTGACATAGATCTCTATGTCATCAGAAAGTTACAAAATTCTATTTTCGACCATTACAGAACCCAAATTAAAGATCTTGTTGAACACACAAGATTTTTCTTCCACAAGGGTGTCTACTGTGGGTCTGATGTACTCTCAAAAACATTTTACACACAATAATCTCAGCGTTAAGGTATATTTTTCCCTGTGCTTAACTAACTGAGCACTATGCCATGAAGGCATATGGGGGAGTGGATGTATAAAGCCACATTTTCTTGACCTCAGCACTAGCTACAGGAGAGTGGTCAGTTTCACACTCCAGCTGCTTTATCCATGGGTAAAGAGCCCTAAATACCCATTGGAGAGCAGATTGGTTGGACCCCAGGGCCAGTCTGGACGATGTGGAGAAGTGAAAATTCTTGACCCTAATGGGACTTGAACTCTGACCCCTCGGTCGTCCAGCCCATAGCCAATCGCTATACAGACTATGCTCTCCCAGTTCCATAATTTCAGTGTGTGAATTAAAATCATACATTAATAAAAATGAGTGTATAATACATCACAATAGAACACAGGGAATGTAAATGATCGAAGAGTTAATTACCTGCGCATCTTTCTCTTCCATGACATACACCCTTTCTTGGCGATCTCGACGCACCGTGTCGAACGTTAAATGTACTGTGGCAGTGGGACCCTCCCCACGTATTCTGTTGCAGCTCAGTAAGCTTGCCATGGTCCACCTCTCATGGGTCTTTCCACACAGCACCTCTCTCTCTTTCAACTGCCTGGAAATAACGTAAAGCATGGCTGTATGGCATCAAACAACGAACGTAAAGGTTCAGTTTGGTAATGTGCACTGTAAAAAGATACAGTTCCTAACACTAATTTATTTTTAGTCTCAAATATATTGTGATTCATATGCCCACTGCTAGGCAACAGCTTGGTAAACACATTCAGAACAAAAGGACATCCATTGCTGGGTAACAAACCAATAAACACCCATTCTTGATAACAGATGACGGTTTTTTCTGCAGGGTCAATGCTGAGAAATTATGAGAGGGGACAGCCAGGAGAATTGAAGGGGTACAGAGGGGTACTATAAAGATGTACAGAGGGGTAAAAAAGCGTACAAGGGAGTACATTGGAGTAGTGTTCTGTTCTGTTCTGTTCTGTTCTGTTCTGTTCAGTTCAGTTCAGTTCAGTTCAGCTCAGTTCAGCTGGAAGTCAGAATAGTTCCAGTGGAGTGTCCAGTCAGAAGAAGATGACAGTTTGTCATACAGTGATTTGTGAACTGTTGTAACCAGTTGTATAAAGGTCCAATAAATTTGATCATCAAAACAAAAAAAGTCTCATAAGTCACACAAACCCTGGCTACCTGACAATATAATGGCAGACATACTAAACCCACATAAATGAATACTACAAAGTATGTTTCAAATTTTACAGCAATGGTGTGTCCCCAGAATATGCTAGATATACAAGTTATCCTTCATGAGAAGGCAGCAAATGCATTAATTTCTTCTACTGCCATCTCACAGGAAGGCCTATTTGCAGACAAACAGAAGCAGTTCTTTTTAACACTTCTGACAGGAAGATGATGATGGAGTGAAAACTACAAAACACTTTCATATGCTCAAAATTCAAAGTTTGGTTTCATTTCAAATTTGTTGTCTGCTGTGTGAATGTGAGAGCACTATCTCTACAAACAGCTTTCCTGTCTACTACTGTTCTATTTTGTTTCTCTTCACTGTGATCATCTTCATGTTATGATATTGTCATGTGTATTAGTGACTACAGATTGGATCTGGATTGGTGAATAGATTTACTGACCCCTTACAGGTCATAACTACAAATAACTATAACACTATTGCTGATTTCCACCCTACAAATCACTTCACATTAAGTTGTCTCATTTTACTTTCACTAGGCTTTACATGGTAACAGCTCTCCACATTATTCCTCTGCAATGTCTTCACCAGATGTTTCCAGGTAACAAATCTTAGTGATGGAGATTTTTCCGCTTCCGTTGTCCACTGATTAACACTCCACATTTGAACCCTCAACTGCACTGCACTTACTCACTGAACAGAATATGTTTGGTTGGGTCACATAGCCTCAGAGAGGACCCACAGAGAATACCATCTGCATCATCTCTTCTACTATTGTGTGACATCACCACGCATGTGTATGCTGTGGGCGCTACACACCAACAGCTGTATGTATCATGTATCGTGACAACTCCTCTATTGTTGAACCAGGGCATTACCTAGCAACAGCTGATGTTTACAGAGGCACCTCTTAGCACTGGGTCATCATCATCATCATCATCATCATCATCATCACCATCATCACCACTGGCATGACAGCCCTCTGTGAGCCCTGGCCTTCCTCAGGATTGCTCACCATTCTTCTCTATTCGATGCTACATTCCTCCAGTTCTTTACATCCAAAATTCTTATGTCCTGCCACACGCATTCTTCCCATCTTAACCTTGGTCTTCACACTCTCCTATTTCCTTCTGGTTTAGTATTAAGCATTTTCTTGATGGTTCTATTCTCGCTGGAACGTATTGTGTGTCCAGCCCATTCAAGCCTTTTCACCTTTATAAATCCAATAATGTCTGGTTCATTAAACAGTTTGTATAGCTCATGGTTATACCTCTTCCTCCATATTCCATTTTCTTCCACTGAGCACTGGGTCTATACACCACAATATTAACAACTGTCATTTCCAGAATTATCTTCCACAATCTCGGACACGTTTTCATAGTGCTCTGGATAGGAGATTCTTGCTGCAGTGACTATGATATAAGGTCTTCTGGATTACAATGTTGCATAGTTTGGAGGCAGCCCAACATTTCGGAGGAACATATCTCCCACGGTCAAAGAGTAAGCCAAGTAGAGCATAGTAGTGTTACTGCTCCTAAATTACATGGTCAAAAGATTGTAATACACACAGGCTACACATAATAAATTACAAGGAAGTGTCCAACTTCATCAAAATCAAATTCTTCATCAACAGACAGCATACAGATGGGAATTCAGACTGATGAAATTTCCAACCATTTAGGCCAATATACACATGTACACAAGCATGCTATGGCATTAGGGAAGAAAGAGGCTAAAGAAAAAGGGACCTTGGGCCTTGGATAACTGCATAAAGATCTCTATGGGAAAATCTATTCCAAAAGGAGCACCTACAGATGTAGTCCATTATGGTATAAGACAGAACCAAACACCAATAATTTCTATGTTTAGAGTCCTTTGCCTACATTCTTACACTCAAAATATAAGATAAGGGGCATGCAGTAGCATAGTTGGTTGAGGCACTAAGCTACAAGCCGGAAGGTTGTGGGTGTGAGTCCCAATGAGGTGCATGTTTTCAATTGACCTAATCTTCCAGCCGCATTATGGCCCTGGGGTAAACTCAACCTCCAACAGAAATGAGTATCAAGAATATTGCTGGGGGGGTAAAGGGCAGCTGGCACGTACGTTTGACCTTACCACCACCTGTGAGCCGACTGTCTAGATAATGTGGGACCCTCAACATATCACAGCCCTATGGGCCTCCATGGCCTGTTACAGGGACAGTTTTTTAAATATAAAATGAATATGTGCAAATATCAGTAGTAAGAGAATGTGCCCCATGTGAGAAGCCCAGAGGAATGGTAACTTTTACACAGATCTGCAACAAGTAATTGAAGACAGAAAAAAAAATTAAATATCTCTATGGAACTGAGCCCTTCTCGAGAAGTGCCGGTCACTCAACAACTTGAGAATTTCCCAACATTTGATGGAACCCGACAGTTCATTTCCATGTTCACAAGAGCCATCCACTGGTACCCATCCTGGGTCAGATGAATCCAGTTCATACCACCACATCCTATTTCTCTAGTTAAACGCTAGGGTATTCAAATCAAAACCCACCTGTAGATAACTGCAAGAGTACACACTCTGTCACCTTGTTACATACAGTGGACCCCTTATTTATGCTCCTTGAGTTAAGCATTTGCCTCATTTAACATTCAATTTCAGGGATCCTATGTCAATAACCTCGCTATTAAATTTCTTTTAAGACATTCCCCAGTTTACTATTCAGATCCACTGTTTGTGAGAGAAAACCTAAATGGGGGTTTTGCCAGTTGACAGGTGAAATACATTCCACTAGATTTTCTATCATGTAGAATCCAGTATGGAAAAGTGTATCTTTCACATTCAAATTTCAAAAAATTTACATACTGTGATATAGAGCCAGAAGAGACAGCCATTGCTAGGCAATGAGACACTAAACAGACAAAGACATTAAACAAGGAGCTGTTGCTATGTAACGGCCAGTAAACATGTTATGTCAGTAAAAAAGGAGCCATTGCTAAGCAATGGCTAGTAAACACTGACTATGACACAGTGTCTTCAATGTGGTCGGTGCTGTTTTATTTGCAGCCCAACCTGAGTCTATAATATAACAAGAACAAGAAGTCAGTCAGTGAAGCATATTCAGAAGAGGCAAACCCATCTTCCCATCAGAGAGAATGTTACACAAGAACTATGACCTTAAGGGTTCAGTTAAAAAAAAAAAGTCTGGTCATGGGCCTCAAGAGGCTAGATGCCAAGATGAACGGATTGGCAGTAAACCGTCAGTTGTAAAGTAATGTTGACTGAAGTCAGTCAGTCAGTCAGTAATGAATTGAGAGTCGACAGTTAAATTAGCTAGTTGTGAGAATGTCACTAGCCAGTAGGAATATAAGCAGAGGACACTGTCGGGATCTGTTACCAGGAAACAGCTAGTGAAGATATGGAACACTTAAGACTGCGCTGTAGTGAGAAGCAGAGTGCACAAGTGAGTGAGTGTCATACTGTGTTACTTCAAATACAAGACATCCTCAAATTTATGATGCATCCAGTTCTTGAATGTGGGTTTTAGGATTAAAAAAATTGGCAGCTCTATATGCCTCAAATTTAAGATGCACTTCAATTTTTCAAAGGGGGAAAGAATGTGAAAATGTGCATCTTATGTTCAAAGTAACATGGTAATTACTTGTAATTACGATTTATAAGTGTTCAGTAAACCAAAATACCAATCCAAACCCCTTGCCTAGTCACTAATATGTGACAATATTTTACAAAGAGAAGGAGAGGAAGTTATGACTTTCCAATGACTCACAAAATTAATCACACACCTTTCCGTCACAACCAGAAACAATTCATCTGCATTTTGAGTTCCCACTCTCTGCCTCTGGACAAGATATAACTGCTCCTCATCTTCATCTGGAAACAGATAGATTACATTAAACAACAGCAGCAAACATTCTGAACTGTATTAACATCTAGCATTATACAATTTATTAACTGGTTTGTCTGCATCAAGCACTTTCCACTTATAACTGCATATTATAAAATTAAATGAAACATCTTAACTTTTAAATTTTATGGTAACAGGCTGACCACATTAAAGCACCATTTTCTGTAATGAGACATTCCATGGGGACTTTAACCTATTATGCTTCAGATTTGAAGGGCCATACCAGATGGAATTCTTGGCAGTTTATAAACAATAATACCTTAAAAAAGAAAGGTAATGTTCTAACAATGCTTTCATCAAATGCCATTTCTGTAGGAAATAAATCCCTCAACAATAAAGATGGCTCAAGTGCTAACATGTCTGATTTCTATTTGAGAGATGCTCAGTTTGAATTTTGGCCAGACATCAACCATGTTCACTGACATTCTTCGTGGTTTTCATCAGTCTTGCAGACAAATACCAAGATAGTGCCTTAAAATTATGCCATGACTGCAACCTTCTACATCATTTTAAATTTATTATTCACTATCTTTCCATCATTTTATGCTATGTAATCTTACTAACTTCATTAAATAAATACATAAATATGAGGACCACGAGCATAATTTGCCATCAAAGATGTCACTGTACTAAAGCTTGTTCACAGGATGGAAGCTGATAATTAAAACTTCACAGGGAATTAGTATTCCACTCTCAGAAATCAACTTTTGTGACACAGTCTACCACAGAAGCAGGGAGAGATCACTTTCATTTTTAACATAAATGTCTCAAGTTAAACAGAAATACTGTGTTCTGGGTGGAATAAAGGCAAGGCGCCATCTCTTGAAAAGACTAACAGGTAATTTAAATCCTTATAAATGCATATATTCCATGTGATGAGACATATTTCAGGGTAGAAGATGGAAGAGCTAGAAAGATTATATGGACAGACAGTTGATTTAATCTGTGTGAACTTTCTGTTACTCAAATCATTATTCCAGCTGTCTAACAGCACTGTACCCTCCAAAAGTACTCTCCTTACATCGGTTCACATGCTCTCCAACAATATGCCATCTTGTTCACTGACTCTTGAAAGCACCCATTTATTATTATTGTTGTTGTTGTTAGCACTAAAACTCTCTGTGGTTCTTGGCCTACTCTAAACTCTGGCCATCCTGTTCTTGTGACTTTGTTTTCCAGTTAACCACACCCAAGTACCTCAAATCCTTCTCCACACCACCCAGCCATCTCATTCTTGATCTACTTTTCTTTCTTTTCCTTTGGGGTTTTACAAGCATTATTCTTTTTATAAGTACTTCATTTCTCTCCTTATAACATGTGCTGCCCATCTCAGTCTATTCCTTTTAATTCTTTTAATTATATCAACATCATTAGATATACTACATAATCCTTATTACAAAACTGCATAATGAGAAGCTTCATAAATTGTACTATTCTCCAAGTACAATTAGAATGATCAAGTTAAGGAGAAAGAGGTGGGCAGAGCATGTAGCACAAATGTGGGAGAAGAGGAATGCATATAGGACATTGGAGAGAAAGCCGGATGGAAAGAAACCACTGGGAAGACCAAGGAGTAGGTCGGTGGACAATACTAAAATGGATCTTAGAGAGATAGGATGGGATGGTATGGATTGGATTGATCTGGCTCAGTATAGGAACCAGTAGAGGGATCTTGTGAACATGGTAATGAACCATCGAGTTCCATAAAATGCTGGGAAGTTCTTCAGTAGCTGCGCAACTGGCAGCTTCTCAAGAAGGGCTCAACTCCATGAGTGAGTGAATTCCTTATTACAATGTCTTCACCAGACCCCATCAATGCACCCACTTGTTATGCCCCAGAAAAACCATTGCTGTGTCACCATAAAGTTCCCTGCCTGATGACAATTGGCTAATTTCAGTCTTGGGAATAAATGAAAATTACATGACACTGGACCAGGACTGCTGAGGGTAGCAAGGGTACAGTAACAGCAAATATGTGACAGCAGCATCTCCTTGAGCATACAAACTCAGTCATAACAGTGAGATATGGAGCTTAAACAGATTTTGTATTTTAGCATTAATAAGATATTAAAAATGTTTTTGCTATCATAAAGTCTTAAAAACTGCATGCTAAATATAGAAAAATCACAAAAGAGATATATTCAAGTAGGATTTGAGGTTCCCACAGCAATGGTTATGAAGAGTATCATCTTCTGAGATATACCATCATGTAATCCACTGAAAGTCAATGGAAGTTTTGGAGGGACACTCGGCTTGCCACCTGCTTTCACACTGGTATCTCGCTTGGCTTATTCCAAGCTTATGATGGAGATGATATGTTTCTCCGAAACGTCAGTCTCAAATATAGTTTGCACTTCAGTTCCAGACAATACATTCATGTTTCTCTGATGGTGAATCAGACTTCACTCATGGAGCTGAGCACTTCTTGAGAAGTTGTTAATTGTGCAGCTACTCAAGAACTTCCTAGAATTTTATGGAAACTGAAGGTTCATTACCATGATGGTGAAAACCTCAAATAATTCATAGCATTGTGTTCAGAGTGCTCAAAGTAAGAATATCAACTATTACCAAACTTACATGAAAATCTATTTTCAGCATCCATTTCAAATCTGAGAATATGAACTCAGTTTTCATCAGTTACACTGAGGTAACCACAAACAATTTGTTCAATTCTTGCAGTAATTTATATACGTCCAGATTTTAACCTGCCTAAAATGAACATTCATTCGGATAACACCTTTTCAAAACTGTTATGAGTTCTCATCACAAAGGACTTAAACAGTATTTGTTTTATGTCTATATCTTTATGAGTTTTGTCTGTTTTTATTTCATTATAAATTACTTAATCAATTCTGTGCATTAATATTTCATTATTATACTTTAAATTTTTTTTATAATTATTTATAGTAATGTGACTAACTTTTTCATTCATCTGTTTATCTTCAACATTCCTGATAAATAAATTAGGATGATTATTTTAAAATCATTTTTGATTATTTCATACCAGGCACCATCCTACAAGCCATAATGTTGCAAGTTTGATTCCTAATGAGGCCGCTGCATTTTTCAATTGATCTAACCCTTCCAGCCTCACTATGGTCCCGGGGTCAACTCAAGCCTCTAACAGAAATGTGTACCAGGAATCTTCCTAGGGGTAAAGGGCAGCCGGCACATGGGGCTCACAACCTCACTGCCACCTGTGAGTTAATCGTCAAGAAAATGTGGAAGTCATGAATTCTCGCTGCCCTATGTGACTCCACAACCTGTTACAGGGATATCTTCACATACCAACTGAGTTTATTTAAGACTGACAGCACTGTTATACGTCAAACCCCCTACTCAATTGATTTTGCCTGATGCCCACACATAAACAATTAATTGGCTAAATATGAGATAATGACAGTTTTGAGACTCACATTCACATTAACTTTCATATTTGTCCTGACCCACAAATGTCCATTCTTACTGCCACACAACCACGAGGATGCAGACAAAACATGTCACACAAGCAAAATATAATAACCACCAAGTTTAGCACCTTATTCTACCTCAGATACAAGCAGAATGATGGTAAAGAGAATTGAGGAAAAAGAGACTGTCAGCTACCTTCTTCATCTCCCTCACACTCCTCGTCCTCAGACTCAACTTCCACAGATTCTGGCGATGCTTCCCTGCTACCTTCCTCATTTCTAATATCAGATGAAAGTGCTTTGGAAGCAAATGATCCTTCTCTTACTACTGAATCCTTCTCCGTTTCTAGAGTGTATGTTGCGTCACATCCATCACTTCCTGCTTCGTTCTGTAAATAATGACGAAAACTGTAGTTAAACATTCGTTATACAAGGTGGACAAAAGCAATAAAAAACTTCTGACATGGTAGTGTAGTTGGTTGAGGCACTATGCCACAAGTCGGAATGTTGCACATTCAATTCCTGACAAGATCACTGGATTTTTCAATTGACCTAATTCTTCCAGCTGCACTATGGCCCTGGGATCGACTCAGCCTCTAACAGAAATGAGTATAGGGAATTTTCCTGGGGGTAAAGGGCAGCTGGCACGCAAGTTTAACAGCTTTGCCGCTATCTGTGAGCTGACTGTCTAGCAAATGAAGCAGCCTTGACATCTCTAAACTGTATGGGCCTCCATAGCCTGATACAGGTATAGCTTTACCTCTCACAGCATACAATTACTTATCTCACTTGAAATACTTCTAACCAAGCAGATAATTTTTGTGGTAACAGGCCTGCAATATATTCAGATGGTACTCTGTTCAAATCTCCATTGGCACTAACCATGCTTCTCTTTATTGTTAGACCAGCATCTGTACAACAAACATCACCAGCTGATGACATGTTCTATTCACCTACAACTCCTGATAACTATCTTGGGCTTCCATAATCTTATATGTGATAAACAACAAGTTTTTCTAGATCATTAAGAATAGGAACTGTATCACACAAATGTTTGCCTACATAAAAAATGTCTCAGGTTTTGTTCAATTCAATTTTAAATAACATAACTATTTTTCTGAGTATTTCCTTGGAACATTGCAGCATACTTCTCTTCTAAATAAATCTGCTGCTTTAAACATTAATATAAATGATTAATTTACTACACCAGTGTCAATTTATTTTTAAATATTTAACTGACAGATGAACAATTATATTCAGACTTAAACTTAGGATTCACTGAAATGTTTTCGATTTCAAAGTTTACAGACCAGTGAAAATTAAGACAGAAATCTTCTAGGAAGTGACATCATGTAGATGGCTACCAATATTCTGGAGGAATTACTTTGTTGACTGGTTCCATAGCTCTGCACTTCACAGCAGCTGATGCACCACTTGCTGTAAGGCGCACATGAATTTTGTTGTTGAATCAACACACCTGAGAGGGAATAACATTTGGAATGATGGGAAGTTCTTTGTTAACAGATCACAGGAGGTGGTGAAAATGCTGTCCCTCTACATGTATACATTTTGATTTACCTTCTGAAGGAGTTCTGCAGGAATATGTCAAATTTCCCTCTGAATATGTTCTTTTAGTTCTTCCATTTGGGGATTACTGTTATAAACTTTGCCCTCCAAACAACCCCAGAAGAAAAAATCAAAAGGATTAAGATCAGGTGAACATTATGGTCAAATACTACTGCTGATAATTCTGTCCCCGAAGACATCGAACAAATTCTGCATAGATACATGTGCAGTGTGAGCAGTAGCAGAGTCTTGCTGAGACCAACCATAGAGTCTTTCTCCTTCTGTTAACAGTGGAAAGATTTGCCCAAGAATGACCTGTACATATCTTTCACAATTAACTGTTTCATTAAAAAACAAAGGTCCAATAATCCTTCCTGCACTCACGGAACACCAAACACCAACTTTCACTGGATGGAGCACAACTTCTTGGGTTAGATATGGATTCTGTGAACTCCACTATGGATTATTTTGCGTATTTATGTATCCCTGCAAGTGAAATCATGCTTTGTCAGAAAGGAAAACCAGTTACAAACATCAACCCTGGTAGCTGACTGTGTGGCTGCAAGGCATGGATTACTCGTTTTATAGGGTCTAAGCTTCAGCAATTGTATTGTTGTTCTTGCACTAGACTTTCACCCTCCAGTCTCTTGTGCTAGATGTTCCAGCAATTTTCTATGCGTATGCTCAAGTATGGCCCCTGTGGCATCTAACTTGTTCACAGTAAGCAATCTGTGCTTATATTTTCCTTTCTTGTCTATTAAAAGGTCTCTTGTTATAAGTTTATTCACTAAATTGTGAACAGTTTGTCTGCTGGGAACTCTTTCATCACAAAATTTACATCGAAATTTTCACCAACACTCTCTAGCAAATCTGTATTTCACATAGGTGTCATATAGAAATATATGTTGTTCTAAAGTATACCGCACCATTACATACCACACAGCTCACTAACTATAACTGACAACAGATGGCTAATGGACCTGACAACCACTGCCTACTGCTCACAACTCATATACAAACTCCCATGCATGAACTGCACTGCTCGCCGCGAAACATGATGACGTTAAGTGGTCCAAGTTAATTACTTCCTTTCATTTCAAATGCCATCAGCCATCAGGCATGCTGATTCATTGTCAAAATTCGTATGCGCCTCGCAGCTGGTGGTGCACTGGTCACCATGAACCCGTCAACAAAATTAAAAAAACCAGGAGCACCCTCCTCTACTGTAAAAAGTGTGATGTTGGTCTGTGTGTCAAGGAATGCTTCGACCAGTGGCACACACACATCAGAGTGTGAGCACTGAATGGAGTGAAAGCAACACAGCAAGACACGAGCAAACCCTGGACATCAAGAACCTCCTCATCAAGATAGACAGGCGGCACAAAATCTGCCCCATACAAGAAGGATGACAGGAGTATGGACATGAACCTACATAGTTTAAAAAAATTATAACTAGTGACAATAAAGGTTTTTTAAATTAACATCTAGAAACTTTAAAAACTTTGCAATACCAGGAAGCTGCTATGATTGTGAAATGTTCAACTTTATGTGTACTGTGCATTATAGAATATAAGTGTATGTATTTTAAATCAAAACACCTATTGTGATGGTAGTTTCCAGTTCGTAATGTTGTTCCCTCTGAAGATGGTCCGTAAGGACCGAAACATGTAAGGGAGATAAGTTTTCATGTAGTAAAAACTTATATGTCACATTGGACGAAGTGGTTTGTATTTATATGTATTTATAAGAGTTGTAAAGTGACGCAATTCATACTCATGTACAGTCTGAACAAAGGATTATTGTATATAGTGTTATTATTTTTTACAAAATCAACATGTTTGAAGTTTTGGGAAAAAACTACAGATCGTTTGGAATTTCATAATCTATATAATAAAGATGATATTTTGCATTTCATAACAAAATAATCACAGTATATTTTCATTTGTAAAAATTGCTCTTTTGTGTATTTGTAGAAAATTTTGTTTTTCAGGCTGTTTTTAGTTCACATTTCTATTGCATAAAACAGAAAATATGTAGTTTTTTCTGAAAGTCTGCAACTTTAAAGACTTAGGGCCATCTAATTCCAGCTGCAGCAGTCTCTTGACAAATTAAAAGTCCATACTTTAAAGGTTAATATGCAAACATCACACATAACGCAATGTTTCTTCTAACAGGGGATCAACAGGCTAACAACACAACACAGACCTTCATGTCTGCCTTTGGAGAGAAATTTTAAACTATACGTATTAAATTTCACATGCAACAATTTGGTCCTCTTACGTCAATTAAAAGGAGCAGATAGAAACAGAGATTTTGAAAATCTTTCATACATAGTAACCCTTGTAAACTCTTACAGAATTTTATAAATTGCTTTTATTCTAAATGGTCTGCGTGAATGTGATATAACATTCAATTTTTAACTAGTCATTCATTAATAATGAAGGATTTAAGATTCAATAACATACTGGCATTTTCCAATACTTCTCTAAATCTCATGGCCAATCACACCAATTAGAATTGTGCCTACATGAGTAGAAGTCACAATGGTAGCACTGTGATGCTGGGGAGACTCTGCAGACAAGGCGGCAGCCGATGGTACAGTCGCAGCCTTATGGAGGCCAAGAACATCTTGAACACAGGACCCAGCATGACTGTGTAGCCAGTTCTCCTCTCCAAATCTCTCACGCAGTGTTTCAATTTGCTTCTTTGTCTCCAGATGTTCTGTAGAGAGGTCTGTGCAAAAAAAAAAACAATAATGTGACAATTTCAAATGTAAACAGGTGCACAGTGACTTGCCAGAATTAAATTTGCTTTAATAATTTATAAAATAAACATGTGTTCATAAGGATACATGACAATGAATGCATAAGGGGTAGGCCTCCACCAGCCTTCGCACCATGGCCTACAATGATCTATTGTGCATAATATGTGAACTAGCTCAATAATCAATTACAGTGGGCCCTTAGCATCCAAGAGTTTGATCTACACTGATATGGATATCTGTCGATCTGAAAATTTTCCAGTAATTTGCTTTGTTTTCTCCTAAAATTCTGAAAATTTCTACACTGTGCTCCTGGTACCAAAAAAGGTATACAGCATATATGCTCATTCTCTATACAGTACATTATAGTGGTTTAATGTGTACATTAACATTGTGCCTTAAAATAAAAAATAAAAGTGAAATCATGTCTAGTTATAAGGGTGGAAGTGCAACTGCAGGTAAATGTGGCAAAAAGACCATACAAATCTATACCATTAGAAGAAAAGATGAAAGTTATTAGAAGAATGGAGTGTGAGCAACCACTGAAGACTTGGCTGCATATCAGAGACAGAGAGAACAGCAGCAAGAAGAGCCTGTTTTACAGACTATACAAACACATGACCTGCAGGAAATTCTGGCTGGTATTGACAGGTACCTGCAGAAGTCAGGTGTCATTGATCCTGACAGGGAATGATGCTATTCTATTAGAAGAGGAGTTGATATAATGTTGCAGCCTTACTACCATGTTCTGCAGAAGAGGAGGCATCATGCTAGGCAAACAACACTCCGTTCTTATTTTAAAAAGAGATCTAAAGAGCCCCAAACTGATCCAAAGATGGCAGAAGATGATCCAGTTGACCCTGGCAATCGCCTTCTCAATAAAACCTACATATTTATATTTTATTATATAATAAATGTGATATAAATCCATTTATATAATGTTTCTTGTTTTACGTAGGAGTGTCTCAATTTTTGTATATCTGGAACGCATCCCACTGCAATTTCATTTCCGCCAATTAGATATATGCAGACATCTCCAGGAACCCAACCCCAGCTTAAAACAAGGGTCTACTGTATTATCTATCACCCATAAGCCAAAATCTTAATTGAACAAGATGAACAGAGAACTGCATAAAAAGTTAATTTTACTTCTGCTAGATTTGAGGTTCTCATGGCAATGACTATGAAAATATATGTCTTCTGGCAGATGATGCTTGCAGTCTGGTACAAATTTACCAATGTTTCAGAGGATCATCCAGTGTAATATGAGGATTATATTCACTAGCATCTGTAAACAATTTTAACACATTCTATTTTATGTCTCACCACAGAAGGGCCTGGTTCAACCATTGTTTTAAAGTTAACACACACTTCTATAACAAAAAGATGAAGAAAGTAGATACTTAACACTAACTTATATAACATGTAAACTAAACACAATAAGTATAAGCAGGTTCTATTCTTTTCACACGGAATAAGAAGCAACTTGTAAAACTAAAGGAAAAAAGAAATAAGCGCACTCATATGGGTATCATATTGTGACATGCTGAGCTATGGATGACGCCCCTCCCCCACCCCCCGCCAGCCGTGATGCGCCGAGCGAAGCTGAAGCGAGCCGATGTTAGCCGAGTCCTAGCATCCTGGTCGCTAGGCAACGCGAGTCAACAGCGGTGACGTCACCAAGTAGTAACAGCGGTTACTTCCGCTAGCGTTACTAGCAACACAGCGCCAGGCAACAAGGGTGCCTATTACGTGGCCGTTTTCCGTATTGTCCGATCGAGGCTACATAAGGAGCAGCGAAGGCTATTCACAGTCAGTCAGTCAGTCCTGGAGCTACCGCCGAGTGAGTCCTCGAGCTACCCCCGAGTTAGTTCCGAGCTAGCCAGCAACCAGCCAGTTGTATTGTGGCATTTGGAATGTACTATTTGTGATACTGCAGATAGCAGTAATCGTAAATCTGTAATTTGGGTGATTGTAAGTGCGAATGTGAAATAAAATTCGCTATATAAAATACGCCGTGAAGTTATTTGTCGCGTTATACCCCCGATACGCGACAATATTGTGACATGTCTGCTCATTAAATTATTCTAAGCTATTGCAAGATACTGAATTTGGTAAAATGCAAATTCAGATTCAACCTTTCTGTCCAGAGATAATTTTAAATGTAAACTACCAAAATGTCAAATTTGTAGTAAGCTAGGCCATACAGACAAAAACTGTTGGTTTGAAGATAAGGATAAGGCAAACAATAATAAGCACAACAATCAACAGAACCAAAAATTTAAGGGCAATCAGTCTTCTACATCAGTTAATAGTACTGATGAAAATAAAGGAGGATCTGATCATAGGTGTAATGAAAATAAATGTTAAAATAAGACCAGTCACATATGAAGAGGCACTGACAAGCTCCGATAAATCTAAATGGAAAGAAACTATTCAACAGGAGCTAGAAGCTTTCCAAACAAACGAAGCATGGACAATAGTAGACGGACCGTCAAATACGCCAGTAGTGCAGTCGAAATGGGTCTTCAAAATTAAACGAGATGCTGAAGGAAATATTGCATGTCACAGAGCACGTTTAGTGGCGAAAGGTCGTAGCCAAACAAAGTGAATAGACTATTTTGAAACTTTTGCTCCCGCAGTGAAACACTCATCAATGCATTTGTTATTTGCTTTAGCTGCTAAGATGACTGGAACACTGACCACCTTGATGTCTGCACCACATTTTTAAATGGAGATACTGAGGAAGTTATATATATGGAGCTTCCTGACGGATATGATACTAAGGGGGAGTCTAATAAAGTTTGCAAGTTAAAAAATCAGTTTACGGAGTAAAAGAAGCTGCTAGGTCTTGGAATAAGAAAGCAACAGAGGTTCTGAAAAGTCTAGGGTACAAACAAACTTGTTCTGAACCATGTATTTATACCAAACAGAAGAGTAATTCTCTAATTAATATAGCGTTGTATGTTGACAACTTCTTCACATTTTATAATGACAATGTTGAAGTTGAGAATTTAAAAAGAAAATTGGAACAATATTTTAAAGTCAAGGAGTTGGGACCGGTTAAGAAATGTCTAGGAATGGAAGTGAACAGAGATAGGGTAACGAAACCTATAAAGTTAACCCAAACTCAATATTTGAACAATGTTAATGTTAAATGTCAATTTAATATTCCTAATGAGACTAAACCAGTTAGTCATCCAACAGAACCAAATAGCAAATTGAAACGGTTGCCTAAATCAAATAAATCGATTGAGAATCTAGATGATGTGCCATATCAATAAGCTGTAGGTATGCCGTATGCATGCGCCCTGATATATCTTTTGCTATAACTTATTTGAGCCAATTTAACGCTTGTTTCATGAGAGAGCACTGGGTTTTGTTAAAAAGAGTTCTAAAATACCTATATACTACAAAGGATGTAGGTATTGTATATTCTCAGAATAATGATAAACTGGAAGGTTTTTCCGATGCAGACTGGGATGGAAATTTAGATTGTAGATCCTTTAGCGGATCTGTGTTCAAACTATCAGGAGCAGCTATCAGTTGGCGATGTAAAAAACAAAAGACTGTAGCTTTGTCTACCACAGAAGCAGAATATATGGCGTTATCAGAGGCCACAAAAGAAGCCATTTTCTTGAGAAAATTATGGTTTGAAATATATAACAAGGAAATCACTATTCCTACTTTTTGTGATAATCATGGTGCTTTAGCCATAGCGAAAAATCATGTCAATAATGACCGAACAAAACATATTGACATAAGAGTTCATAATAAATGATATAAACTTCGTCCTAAGTGCAAACAATATATATTATATGTCTTTGATCTTGTTCTTTCTACACCACATGTTTCGGCCTCTATCGGCCATCATCAGGTGTATACTCTTAACGTTGCTGCCACACTGAACCCAGTCTAAAATTTAACATTTAAAAACACAATGTCAGATTCTTCGTATTATCAACGATGTAGATGTTGATAATACGAAGAATGTGACATTGTGTTTTTAAATGTTAAATTTTAGACTGGGTTCAGTGTGGCAGCAACGTTAAGAGTATACACCTGATGATGGCCGATAGAGGCCGAAACATGTAGTGTAGAAAGAACAAGATCAAAGACATATAATATATATTGTTTGCACTTAGGACGGAGTTTATATCATTTATCATGTAGAGTGCAACAGGATGCTTAAATATAATATTATAAGAGTTCATTTTGTAAGAGAGAGGGTTGAATCAAAGGAACTGTCAGTACATTACATTCCTGGAAATCAATTAGTTGCTGATGGTTGCATGAAAGGTTTAAATGTACGGAAACATACTGATTTTATTAATTCACTTGGATTGTGTTAAGAATAATGTTTCCAAATGAGGTTCTAAATAATAACTTTTTTGATATTTTGATTAATGAATAAGTATTTTTTAAACTCCCAAAATTGTTTAAGGGGGAATGTTATGTTGTCAACTCTCTAATGGTAAAATATAATGCTAGAGTTGGCAACGTCATAGTAAACAATTTTAACAACAGACCGCGCTACATGCGCTGTTTCTAATGTCTCTACTGTTATGTGTAACTACGGTTACATGTGTAAAAACAGAATCTCTCTATTGATATGTGTTACCACAGTTATATGTGTGAATATATACAGGGTGTCCCAGGAGGAATGTGCCAAACTTCGGGAGGGTGTTCCTTATGTTAAAGTATGCCGATATAACCCAAAACACCTATGTCCAAAGTTGAACGGTTACGGAGATAATGGCCCGAGAAGTGTCAAACTTTGACCGGGGTTACACACTTGTTGATTACAAAATACATATTAAAACTGGCAGGAATATGTGGATTCTGTAATGTTAATAATGTACGTAACATCAAACCAACTTGTGAGTGACGGAAAGCCATAAAATTGAAGTACAAAATACTCGCTCGCCATGTCATAATTGTCCTTAGGTTTCCAAGCAGTATACATAACACATGACTGGCGAGCGATGACGTAACGTGCTGACTGCGCGTTCTGGTATGAGCCAACTACATAAGCACGGCTAGGGAGTATCATCGCACTCAAGGACAAACATAGATAAGGGCTCTCAGCTGAGAGGTACAGCGAGGTACAGTGCTTGGACCTGCCAGAAGACCACACTTTTCTTGGGCCATTATCTCCGTAACCGTTCAACTTTGGACATAGGTGTTTTGGGTTATATCGGCATACTTTAACATAAGGAACACCCTCCCGAAGTTTGGCACATTCCTCCTGGGACACCCTGTATATAAAACGCTTTTGTGTATCAAAAGCTAGTCTTAATAAAGCAGGGATAGATTGAACACTGATTCTTACTAATCATTCGATCCACGTGGAAGTAACAAAAATAACATCAATTTCATTACAAAATGAAATGGTTCAATAAATGAAAGTCACTCTGCAATTTGCTATGTACACTGAAAAAAATTTCAAAGTAACATTTTTTGCAAAAACAGTTGCCACAAAATGAACACTTACATAGAGCATGTAGGCCTATATTCACAGTGAGAATACACTCGCCATTGAAATTAATGTTTAATTCAGTAAAAATAGACACAGATAAAACATAAAGTTATGATTATGAATGGTCCATACTGTGAAGATTAACCTTTCTCGGACGGGCCATTTAATTTCCAGCAGGGGCAGCTGGACGGAGTTTATTTAAATGCCCGCCCTTCTAGAGCAATGAAATTGTAAGCATGTTTCTAAAAATGGTGTGATTTCTACATTTTTTATGATAAACGAACGAAATGAACGCTCCTTTAATGTAGAAAGAATATAGAATCAGATATTCTAATTTACAGATTTTAATATCTGTAAAAAATTTTTACACTGATTCCCAAAATAAAATTTCCCGAAATTCATACATTTTCTGCACCATGCGTTCTAGCAGTGTAATACATTTTCTGCACCATGCGTTTTAGCAGTGTAAGTCCTTGTGGCGACTTCACATTCAATGGTATCTCTTGTTGTAGCTTATTTATCGTATGGGACATGTCGCTATGCACGACTGTTTGCGTCTGAAATTCCTCGCTGCCTAATGTGTTAGATAAACACAGAAGTTACTTCTCGGAATATGGTGTTGCCAGATCGGTAATTCGTTCATTCATTGCAGTCAAACCATTGTGTTTGTAACGATTTTGAAACATCGCAATATAAGGTTAGCCACCCATGACATCATGAAGCAGATATTGGGTTCAGAGAAGTCGTGAATGAGATTTTTGTATGTGTGGGCTCGAGGTTAAGATTTATGGCTTCTTATCGTGGTCTAAGCACAGAGATTCACTGCTAGCACTGCTAGAGATCCGTATACACGACGACGTCGTATGGAAAATGCTGAAATGAGACACAGATTCGGACTGCTATTCAACCGATTCTGAATGTGGCGTGGAAGGTTGGTCTTCTGATGCCTGAAATTGAAAAACAGCTGTTCAATGACACAGATTATGAGAGGGGCGAGCAAAGTTGGAATTCTGATTCCGCGGACGACGGGTCATCACCTTCGTCGGCAACTTGGGGACCGCCAGACCAGTGTGGCTGGAGAGGTGTGAATAATTATTCCGGTGTAGCTGCGGGGATAAATATCACTGCAGCTCGACATCACTGGCCTGCTTCCTCTAAATCGCAACTGAGGTGTCGTGTGTGCTTTTCGCGTGGGAAGCGGTCTAGCGTTCGTACGAAGTGCGTGAGCTGCGACGTCGGACTCTGCATTTCGGAATTTTTTCGGCAGTACCATACGAAGGCCACATTACCATAGATGACGCAGGGGGGAAGGCTGTTTCCTCATGAAGATGGTGAACATATATCACGTAAGTAGAGCAAAAATTTAATTTTAAAAAAATCTTTACACACGTGCAATGCGCGAAATCATATGAGGTCGTTCGGCCATATGACGTCGGTAGATTACATTAGATCACGCAGGAGGGAAGGCTGTCATCTTATAAAGGTTGTGACCAAAAATTATGTAAATAGAAGAACAATTTATATTTTAAATTTAATTTAAAAAAAATCTTTACACGCATGGAATGCGCGACATCATATGATGTCGTTCTTAAATTTGTCCTTACTTTTAACGTCATATGACGTCCCTAGATTACATTAGATCATGCAGGAACGAAGGCTGTCTCCTTATAAAGGTGGTGACCAAAAATCATGTAAATAGAACAACAATTTATATTTTTAATATAATATTAAAAAAACCTTACACGCGTGGAATCCGCGACATCATATGATGACGTTCGGCCAGCTGCCCTAACTTTTAACGACATCATATGATGACGTTCGTCCGATAAAGGTTAATGTGTCTCTCAACTTTGTCCATTTCTCAGTATTCTAAAGAACATGTTCGGGAAATTGGAACTAGTTCTGTCTTCAGGTGAAGGAGATGGGGGACAAGTACTCTCCTGGGTCTGTTAGAAAGAGCCAACATCCATCACTGGATGAGTGAGGACGAAAACAGATTCAGTCTCTGAAACACTGTGCTCTTTAGAATACTATATGATGGGCAAGTACAAAAAGCCAGTAATCCTGTCAGAACCCCCTAGAATAAACAGGTCAACACTGTTTTTATTTACCTATAGAATTTGTCATGAAGCTGGAACTCAAGTCAGAATCTTCTGCACCTCCATCTTGATCTGAGATGACTGCTTCACGTACCCGGCCACTTTTCTTAGAGCCAGGGCCGTGGTGAGGCTTCATGACAGACTGGTCACCTTCACAGAAACCCAACAACTTAGCAGTTATAAGAATTTATAAGAATAATGCTTCCAAACACCTTTAATTCAGAGAAAAATTCCTTTCTCACAAAAATGTAACACTCCACCCTAATTTTTGTAACTTTTTCCTGTAAGCTGCAGAAAATGAATTGTATGTCCTAAAAAAATGACAGCTGTATATATACAGGATGTCCTTGTTAATGGTGTGGAGACACTCTCATAAACTACAAATATACTTGTATGTGAAACGACATTATGTGGCTCAGTTCTTACGATAAGAAACTTCCAGAAACAAGTAGGTTGCATTTCTCAGTCTATCTCAGTCTATGATACTAATGTAACTGTAAATACTTGTATATTCACAGCTTTAAATACATGTAATTATAAACTACAATAATGATTGTACTGTATTGTATTCATCAATGACAAAAAAAGAAGTGAGCTTTGTTTGAGCAAGTAACCCTCCCCTTTGGTCATTTTCTTAAACTCTAGGATGAATGACATAACAATGATTCAACACAGCATTGTGCGAAGCCTTGGTATAAAAACAATATTAAGGTAATGATGAAAAAACATTACCTGAGGACCTATGGATGGGGCAATCTTCAGGAATGTTATTTTCACGATTCTATTACAGTTTACATTAGCTCAAACTAAAACACACAAACAGTTACATTCCTCTAAAACAGTGTTTTTCAACTGCCAGCAGTGGCATCAATTATACCAGGGCCTTATCTTATAAAAAAAGAATTTACCAAGCTGCAGTCTCACAAAGGTTGAGAACCACTGCTCTAAAACACTGTTAAAATTCTACCTGACTATACAGCTCCTCATCCTAGAAGATAGTTCTGTTCACAGTTACATCACTGACCTCTTAAATACTGTTCCTGCTAACTTTAAATGCAAGTACACAGTGCAGAAAGAAATTACTGAAATTGAAATAAGGTAAAAATATGCAGCAAGAGTATTTCTCCACAAGAGAGCTACAGATACAGTGAAGTGTGACCTTGGCAGTCCTGCTAACTATAACCAGTTTTGACTGCATTGTTGTTCCATATGCATGCTTTGTGCATTGTGTTTTATGCAGTTAGAAACCACACAGTGGAACAAGTCAACATCAAGTTTTATGTACAACTGGGGAGAAGCCCCACTGAAAGACATAAAATATTACAAACAGCTTACAGGGATGAGCTCTGTCCTGGGCACAAGCATTTCATGGTTTAAGAGTTTTCAATATGACAGAGGGGATGCGGAAGATGACCATCACAGGGGACAACTAAAAATGACCTCTGATGTATAACTGGTGGACACAGTGAGCAGTTCTCTTGTGAGAGGATAATATCTTACATTCAAAATGATGGCAAGTGAACTAAATGTGAATAATGAATCAATAAGTTCCATAATTACCACAGACTTATTCGAACACTGTGCTACACTATTCACATAATGAGAAATAATTCAAATGACTGCATGCTTACAAAGATTTTGTGCAAACAGCTGACAGTGAATATGTTTTTTGAACACCATCGTTACCAGGGATGAGTCACATGTCCAGTATGATCCTGTCACCAAAGGTGCAGAATGACGATAACATTCTCACTCAGACCAAAAAGGATTTTCCAGAAATCACACATCAAAACCAACCTGATGACATTCTTCAATTCAAATGGATAATTTATGCCAGAAGGAAGAAGTGTCAATAGTGAGTACTATGTAGAGGTATTGAAACATCTGCTGATGAGAACCAAGCATGTGAGGCAAGATTTTGAACATGGTACCTGCCTTTTGCATGACAACACACACGCTCATACAGCAATAATGTAAGGACACTTCTGGCTGAAAAAGGGACAGCAGATTCCCCTTGACCTGACTCCAGCAGACATTTTTCTTGCATCCCAAGTTGAAACTGAGACCAATAGGCTGTTGATTTTAAACAATCAATGAAATTCAGAAAAACATGATGGCAGAACTGAATACCATCAGAACACATGAGTTTTCCAAGTCCTTCCAAAGTGTATATGACTGCTGTAATAAGTGTAACTGCTCATCTGGGCACTGTCTTGATGGAAACAGGTAACAGATATGTTGCATTATGAACTGCTTTTAGTTCATTTCAGTCTCATTACTTTTTTGCACAATGTATTTCTGTTTGGGGCTTTTGAATGAATAATGATGATTGTGTGTGTGTGTGTGTGTGTGTATTGATATGCAGTTGACAAGTGAAAAACAAGCTATTTAACCTTTATGTGCTCTGCAGCAAATATTAGGGTCAAATACGAGGGTAAGTCAATAACTAAGTTATAAATGGATATAGAACTTAAAACAAATAAGAGTACTGATTCGAAAAATGCTTTTATTTCTCAACATAATCTCCCTGTACATTGAGGCACTTGTCCCATCAGTTCACAAGCCCTTGAAAACAAGCAGCATAAAATTCTTTGGGCTGCTGTTGGAACCAGGCAGTGACTTCCCTTTCTACAGCTTCATCGTCGGGAAAATTTTCAGCCAAAAGATGATGTTTAAGAGGGCCGAACAAATGGAAGTTGCTTTGAGGAAGGTCAGGGCTATACAGAGGATGCTCGAGGACTTCCCACTTGAAATTTTGCAGCGTCTCATTTGTCTTGTTGGCAGTATGAGGACGCACATTGTCATGCAAGAGCAACACGCCTCTGGTGAGGAGTCTTGGTCACTTCCGCTGAATGGCTTTATGAAGTTTCCTGATGTAAATGTTCCCTGTAAAGGGAAGTGACCACCTGGTTCTGACAGCAGCCCAAAGAATTTTATGCTGCTGGTTTTCAGGAGCTTGTGAAATGGTGGGACAAGTGCCTCAATGTACAGGGAGATGATGTTGAGAAATAAAAGCATTTTTCAAATCAGTACTCTTATTTGTTTAAGTTCTACATCCATAAGTAACTTACTTATTGACTTACCTACTTATTAGGGTTGGCTAAATTCTGCAAGCACTCCATTTCTTCAGTACAATTACCTTGAGTCAAAATATGGTTGGCAGGACTGCAGAAGCAGGATCCCCTAATTATAAAATGCTCTCCCTGAACAAAATCAGGGCCCCCAAACCTAGAGTGCTAGGCGATTTAAAACCCTTATTTCTAAAACAATAAAGGTTAACAGAGACATACAAAATTTGGTGACAGCAGTAACACACTTATGAATATAAGTCCTTATAGAACAACAACTATGGAACTTATGTTAATTTCCTCTAGCTCATGTCACTTCCAGTTTCATCCTATGTTATTTCTCCTTACCTCTTTCTGGAATAAGAGTATTTTCAGATGCAGAACAACTTCCTGCAGACGAGGTGTCATCTTTACAGGATTTGTTACGAAGAGCAACTCCACCCAAGGAACCTATGCAAAGTCTTTCTGCCTTAGACAAGGGCATTCGGTCCAACATAAACTGAAAATAAAATGTTTGTCAAGACTTCAGTGAAGAACTTAAATGTGTATTCCATCAATTCCCTACAGCCCATGACAATTTTGTTCAAGCCTTCAGTCCAAAAATAGGAAGGAAAGCGATTTTAATATAAGACAATCAGAGTAAAGCTCATATAAAGCCTAGTTTCCTCTTGCATACAGCCCTAAAATAAGTGCAATTCCTCCCTTACAACTCTGCCTCTCAAATGGCATAATGTTAGTATCTAGTTTCCTTACAATCAGAGAATTTGTTCAAAAGTAAAAATGGATGGAGGCACACAGACACATACAGACAACATAAAGCTCTAATAAGCCCACATTTTTCCCTTTTGAAAAATAGAAGTAGACTAAAAATTATAAACAAGACCTAAAAAAATTAGTAATGATGGTGTTGGTGTAGTAAATTTCTTCCACTTCAAAAAATCTGTAAAGATATACCCTGTAAAATATAAAAATATACTTCAAATTGTCTTTATTAGATGACACACAATGAGTTCCATCATATTTCAAAATATGATGGCAATTTCTGGGTAATTAGGAAAATGTGAAAAGATTTAATCTCACATAAGTTAATGAAACAAATGCAGTTAAAATTTCAGATTCAGGGAATACAATTAATCTTTACATCAGGTAAAGGCTAAAAAAAAGGTAAAGTTGTCACTGTGCTTAACTAATTAAGCACTACGCCATGAAAGCATATGGGGGAATGGAAGTATACATCCATGTTTTCTTGACCTTGGCACTAGTTGGAGGTGAGTGGTCAGCTTCATGCCCCGGCTGCTTTACATCTGGGGAAAGAGCCCCTGGTACCCATTATCTTTACACCAGTCAGCTAGAAACATGTCTGCATATACGAAGGGGGACCCAAAAATAACTGGAAACGACCTGTTGCGCGCGCATGCTTTGTAGTTACAAGTTGTGCTGCTAGGTGGTGTTAGCTGGGGGTCTCCCGCGACTGTTAGTGAGCTGGCGTCAGTCTGAGTTAAGTGGTTTGTCTGTGGTGCTCTGTTGTGTGCGTTCCTGTTTCAACCCTTTGGCGATTAGTGAGATGGCCGACCAGAAGGAACAAAGAGTGTGCGTGAAATTTTGCTTTCTGTTAGGGAAAACTGCACTTCACTCTTCAAGTCGCGGCAAACATTCACGCGGTTTTCTCTTTGGTCATCTCCGAGCAAGCGAGGAACAAATTTTGCAGACACCCGTCTCATGTGCAAACCTTCGGTTAAAATTCGCTGGACCGTGCTCCATGAGATGTTCGTTTCCTCAGAAAGTTGGTCAATGGTCTTTCGACGATCTTCATCAATTTCACGCACACTCTTTGTTCCTTCTGGTCGGCCATCTCACTAATCGCCAAAGGGTTGAAACAGGAACGCACACAACAGAGCACCACAGACAAACCACTTAACTCAGACTGACGCCCGCTCACTAACAGTCGCGGTAGACCCCCAGCTAACACCATCTAGCAGCACAACTAGTAACTACAAAGCATGCGCATGCAACAGGTTGTTTCCGGTTATTTTTGGGTCCCCCCTCGTATGTGTCAACCGCTGGCCACCAAACTGTCACTTGGTCACCCAGTGCTTGCTGGCTTACCATGACAGCATAGATAACATTCAGTTGCCTTTCGAGATATGTACAAATATTTTGCAGTGGTGTAATGTAAAGGTAAAGTTGTCCTTGTGCTTAATTAATTAAGCACCATGCCATGAAGATGTATAAGGGTGAGGAGGTACAGCTCCACCAGGCCTGACCTCAGCACTACACAGACGTGAATCATCAGCTTAACACAATAGACAAATTATCCCCCATGAAAGTGACACTTGTACCCACTGGATAGGAGGCCAAGTGGGCCCCAGAGCTGGTATGGAAGCAGAAGGGTAGAGAAAAGTTCATTGTGCCTGCTGGGAATCAACCTCCGGCCACCAGGGCCCACTGACATTCGCTACACTGATGGACCTATCCTGGCTCTTCAAAAATATGTTCCCTTAGCTGGGAATCAAACACCAGTCATTCAGCCCTTAGCCCACAACTATACTGACTGAGCTACACTGGCTACTGGTGTAGCATTAAGAAATTAAATGTAGTGCTGAACAGAAATCATTCATATGTCATCCCTACATACAGCATTCTTCATGTAGGAAATGCAAAGTTTCATAGAAAGTATCTGTACAGTACAGTGCCATGTAAAGCAATGATTCAAAATATTTTAACAAAATTAAAATTTATGCTATTGGTGCTGAACTAAAATAAATCTTGAAAAAGACATATACATTGGTCGTCGACTTATGGCCTATGAGACTTATGACCACCAAAAAAAGATAAATAAATAAATTAATAATAAACCAGGATGTGCTACTGAGGCACATCAATGCCAGGAAACCTGAGGACATTGCAAGGCAGCTGCGCATATGATAACTATGGGATCATCTGGCAACATGGGCCTCCCACACACACAGGCATAAAAAATTTTGGAAGCTGTGTTAGGTTCTGGACTGATGAAGTCTACAATTTTAACCAAACAATGACACGGACCCATCCATGAAATGGAGAAATTGTTGTTCATGTGGATGGAAGATTTAATACAAAAAAAATACACCCATGAGCCTTCACACAGTGCAAGCGAAGGCTAGAAGTCTGTTTCAGAGTTTAAAATCACGCACTGGAGACGACTACGCAGAAGATTTTCAGGCCAGTACTTGTTGGTTTAAGAGTTATAAAAAAAATGACATATGATTAAAAATATATGACGTATGAGAAAAAAAAATATGGCCCTGGGGTTCACTCATCCTCTAACAGAAATGAGTACCAGGAATTAACCCTTTGACGTGGTCATTTAAATTCCGCGGCCGCGGCTCCTGCGGTAATATATTCAGCCGGCCATTTAAATTTTGCTCGAAAATTATTTATTCATCATTGTTCTTAAATTCTATGAGATAGGAACATGAAACTTTCACTAAAATGATCTTAAATGGTGGTTTTATAACCTTACCTTATAATATGGGCGCCCTGTATCTCGGCCATGGAAGCAGGTTGTTTAGTATTTCAGCAGTGAATGGTACGCCTTGAAGGATGAAACTTTCACTAAAATGATCTTAAATGGNAAGTTTTAAATACATAAACTTTATTATTATATAAGGACGTATACAGGTTTGTATTATTTGTGAATGGACGTGTAAGGGCAAGCAGTGAAATGGTTAACGGATCGATGCACCTGAAGATGGCAGCATACTGCTGAAACATGTAGTGCAGAAGTGGTAGATGGGATTGTATGCACTTGAAGACTGTTAATATATACACATTATGAGTTTAAAAAAAAATTTTGCTTTGCATAATGTACATGTCACAGGAGAATCAGGAAGTACAGATGAAGATGGAGTCCAAAAATTTGTTGATAGTTTCTAAGCTTTAATCAAAGAAGAACGTTATCTACCAGAACAAATATTCTATATAGAGGAAAACAGCTTGCAATGGAAACGCATGCCTAATCATATATACATACACCAAGAAGCAAAAAAGATCCCAGGATTCAAAGCTTTTAAGGATTGATTGCCTTTGTTGCTTGGTGGGCATGCCACAGGTTTTAAGCATATTAAATGATTTTATGACATGCTTTGGTCCACAGAGTGACTACCACCAGACTAGTACTGTCTGTGAGTTGGTATACAGGTAGAGTTTATAATCAACAGCCGTTAGTCAAAATTTATTTTTAACTCGCTTGACTGAAACTGAAGGTTAAAACAGGTGTGTGGGAATGACTCCATGGGTGGGAAAACAGCTGTTCCTTAGCATTGGCTGGTTCCTAGCCTGTAATTGGTTAGTGCTCAATTCACTGTGGTGTTTCCCACAGGTGGTTAAAGTCTAACCTCTAGTGTTAAAATTTTGTCAAATCTGTACCCACACAGTTCCTTCCAATCCTTGGTGTGGTTGTACTGTGCTGTCTCTTGTGTTGGTTTTGTGCTGTGTTTGTAAGTGAATGGATCAAGCCAGTCTTGATCCACTTTGCTGTTAAGCACATATTATTGACAACTCTGTAAAAAGTTTACATTGATGGACTAAAGATCTGTTTTTGAAACAGAGTAAATTTGAGACATAAAACCTTGCTGTACAGTGTATTTGAGGTATTATCAAGAAAATGTTCAAAGTTAGAAAAAATTTCATCCAATTTCTCTTCAGTGTGCATTCAATGTTTCAATTCTTTCTCCCTTTCCATACTCAGAACTTCAGCTTGAGATGAATTCTTAGAGAAATCTGCACAGAGATAATGATCATCTTAAGCCCCTGACTATGTGATAAAAAGACATACACTCCACATCAGCAATAACATACCTTGCCATTAGCAGTACTATCATGAAGACGCTGGGCTGTCCGAGTACGGTGTTGGGGATGAAAACTCAGTGGATTTCCTTCTAGGCTTAACCATATAAGAGTAGACAACCAGAGAAGTGGGGTGAGTGCACAATGATCTGACAAGCAATTGCATGACAAGTCTAGTTCCAATAAAGACTCCAGCATAACCAGGCCTGTCAACACCGTAAGTCACAATAATGTTCATCATAATCCATACAGATTAACTACACAATAAAATATACTTTCATACATATATACTGAGTGGGGGGCAGAAACTTCCTTTTTTTTTGAAGGCGAATAAAAAAATTATTGCTGATAGACAAAATTTATGTTTAGCTAATGAAAGAACACACTTTAAAGTTTTAAATCATGTAGTTTTAAACAAAATATCTTGAAGGTGGTGGCCACCGTTCTCTATGCACTGATGCAACCGTTTTCTGAAGTTCCCTTCTGAACATTCCAACATGTGTACCAGAATTTTGGCTACTTCCTTCTGAAAAACATTTTTCAGCTGAAGCAGGTTTGTGCCTTGAGGTATCCACATAAAAAAAAAATTCATAGGGAGTTAGATCAGGTGAGTGCGCTGACCACGGGATGTCACCTCGAAGCGAGATGAGCGATCTGTGGAACTTTACCCTCAAAACTGTCATCAAAGCTCCAGCTGTGTGGGGGCCATGGCACCATCCTGTTGGAACCAGATATTTCCTAGATGTATTTCTTCAAGCGCTGGTTTGAAAAAGTTTTTAATCATATCCACATACCACTGTGAATTGACAGTAACCGCATGATTGTCTTCCTCAAAAAAATAAGGGCCAATAACTCCAACTCTCAACAACACACACCATACTGTCACCTTATCACTGTGAAGTGGCCTCTCATGGAGCTCTCTGGGATTGTTATGACTCCAATAGCGCATATTCTGCTTGTTGACATATCCGGGTAGGTGAAAATGTGCCTCATCACTAAAGAAAACAAGTGCGTCAGGGAGTAAAGTTTCCAATAACGTTTCGCACGCCGTTATTTGGTTCTGAAAACACCATGGCGACAATTCTTGCACAACCACCATCTTATAGGGATGGAAATGAAGATGTTCGTGAAGAATTCGGCACATTGAACAATTGGATATGTCTAGGGCGACTGCATGTTTGCAAGCGGAGCGTCTTGGAGATCTCAAAATTGACTGTCGAACTACCTCCACATTTTCTGTCGTCATAACAGTCCGTTGTCGTCCTGATGATCTTTTCACGACACTCCCGGTTTTCCTAAAGTTCTCTACCCACAAAACAATCGATTTCTGGTCGGGAACCAAACCTCTGGGCTTAATTCTGAAGTGAGTACGGAACGCACGCTGCACCGCCAGGTAAGAATGGTTGTTCAAGAAATAGGCTTCAACTGCAAACATACGCTGCTCACTCGTCCACCTCATGTTTCCTACTGAGGGGTAACTTCTGTGACTGCTGCATTCACCGAGCCTATCCCCACTTTTCTGCGACCTCCCCTCTCGTCACAAAAAAGAAGTTTCTGTGCCCCACCCTGCATACATAAACATATAACATACTCAACAAAATACTATTCTCACTTGTTAGTAGTCAATTCGTAATTTTCTAAATTAAGTTCTCTAGCTCATGGAGGAAAAATGTGGTGGTGGCAGTGGTAAAAGGTAAAGCTATCCCTGAAACAGGCCATGGAGACCTATAGGGTTGTGGGACATCGAGGCTCCACATTTTCTAGACAATCAGCTTACAGATGGCAGTGAGGTTGTCAGCCTTGCACGCTGGCCACTGTTTACCCCTAAGAAAATTCCTGGTACTCATGTCAGTTAAGGGATGAGTCAAACTCAGGGCCATAATGGGGCTGGAAGTATTATTTGGTCAATTGAAAAAATCCAATGACAGAATTGGAAATCAAACCCATGACCTTCTGGCTTGTGGCATAGTTTACAACTTTCATAGTATGCATTCTGTTTGGTCATTCAAGAAAAATATACAAATGGTAGGGTCAACACAACAAATTTATACAAAACTATATGATAGTGACAGACCACAGCAATTTATGCATAGTAGTTTCTAATTATTTATTATTTTAACTACACAATTTAACAGAGATAATAACATAAATGTCATTAATATAGGTGTACATATTTATTCATAAAAATTTGAATTAAAGATTGTGATATTATAAAACCTATTAATGTAAAATATGGATCCATACTAATGTGTTAACACACTCAAAAACCTACCACTACTGTTTCATGTATACCTGAAGATGACCTAAACAAAGACTGAAACATGTAGCATTAACATCTGCACAAATAAACACATGATACTGTACTATCTAGTTCCTTTCAGTTTCAATAATTTGTCGTGTTGACTGTCCCATTTGTATATTTTTCTTGTAGCATAGTGCCTCAACCAACTACGCTACTGTGTGCCCCACGGTAGTGGTAGTGGTAGTAGTAGTTATTATAGTGGTTGTGGTAGTAGCACCAGCAGTATTTTCTGAATGAAAACACATTTACCTGACAAATCTTCGATGTAATTGTTCTTTATGACTAGAACCTGCAGCTTTCTACATGCATCTTTATTAACCACAGGAACAGATTCAAGGAGATTATAACTCAGGTTCAAATATTTCAAATTTGGTAGACAGTCTATGGCTTCAGCTTGAGAAATCTTGTTATGACTGAGATCAAGGATTTGCAACCATGGAGCAAACTGTAGGGAGCAATCCAAAAAATCTATTCCATTGTAGCTAAACACTGCCTCTCTTAGGTCACTCCATACAAATCCTGTACTGTGATCAGCTCCACAGTCTAATAGAAGATCTTCTAATCTTTGGATACAGTGGATGCAAACTACAGATTGCAACTGCATTCGCACACTCTGAATCCCACGTAACAGAAGCACTGGAAATCTTCTCAGCTCAAGATACTTCAAGTTTCTAAATTTACAGATGTCTAATGTACCCTTAACAGAGTCATCTGTCACTGCACTGTTACTAATTTTCAGACCAACCGTCTTCTGCACAAAGTCATGTAGAAACAGAATATCATTCAATGTTTCAACCTGGGTATCGTTTGTGTTAATGACATGAAATGTACTGCATCCTTCATCATTCTCAACAATGACGGTGAACGCTTCGTTAAGGTTCCTTAACAATGACACAGTCAAACAAAGTTTACTCTGGCCGTTCAACACTTTATCTCCATTCTCTCGAAGCAATGAAGCCAGATTTGATATGCCGTTCATCGCCATGTCATACCATGACTAAATTTTATAAATGTTCTTCAATTTATTACAGGGCGCGAAAAAGAATTAGTTCATGACTATTTTGGTAATAAAATAATTGTTACGCCCTACGTTATATTCTCATAAAATGTACAGACAAAATATATGTTGGACAGATTCATACTGCCTTTCAGCAAAAATAGAAATATGTCACTTCTACCACTGTTACCAGAGCAATGAACATAAGACACAAGAGAGGTTCCATGCAATATTTATTAATTACAAATTAACACAATTTGCAAATCACTAGATAAAGGTACTGTGTTCTTGCGTATTACGAAGTTTCGTACATGTCACTTTAATTTTCTTCACTGGACTGGCAAAACACTCAGTATCAGCTGTTTGTCATTTTCACAACTAACATTCTTCACGCAGACGTGGCTTACCCTATTCGTAACACACCTACGTAAGGATGGTAAGGATCATGTACCAAAATCTTTGTTAAAGTGGTTACAACCCGTACAACCTATAAAACCGTACCAACTACCACATACTAACAGTCCTACTGGCCACTGCCGTGGTGTGCCATTACCGTTAATATGTTATTGTGTGAGTCATACCGATTTCTGTTATCGATAGCACAGTGTAATTATTGAATGATTTATTTGCGCTCCCTAATTCATTTTCATGAGGAAGAATGTCCGTGTTGGGTCAAGAATAACGTATGGGATTAGTATGGTGGTATAGCGCGTTATGGATGGTACAACCAATCACTGCCGATCACTGCTTCCGGATTTCCGGATGAACACATGAATGGTGCTAGCAAAGTCTGTCGGTTCAAGAATTTCATTATTTCATTCGATTTCTTTAATGTTCGATCATTTTCAACAATCAAACAATTCGATACTATTCGATTGTGCGGATGGCCGTCCATGACACAAGAATTGAATCGTACAGTTTTTGGAAAGTTTGTAGAGTTGTATTAATGAAATTTCTTGGTTAGGAAATTTGACAGCATTAAGTAGTGATGCACACGGTATACTGTATACTGTTATTTACCACAGCTATTTGTACCATTCATTGTAAGAAGTTCACAAACGAAGAAGATAAACCTGCATGGGCGAAGAAGAACATTCGTGATTATAATGATGCAGATTTAGAGAGGCTGCTCGAACAGTGGGAGGTAAATCTTCTATGATTTACGATAAAAAAAATAATAAAAGCGTCACAATAATGTGATGTAGCAGTATCGCCCAAATGATTTTTCGTGTTTTAGGAAGATGATGAACCCCTTGAACAGGATGAGCTGCCAGAACATCTTCGTCCACAACCAAATATTGACTTCAGCAAGGTAAGTAATGCGGTTAAGAGTGTTAAAAACATTCAGTACTGTGTATCTTAAATAATTTTCACTTCATTTATTTCTACATTATTATTCTTGATCTATGGGTCATTTTCGTGATATAAATGTTAAGTAGTGTACTGAAATACAATGTAAAGTCAATTTAGTCTGTGAACCTGGGTACATCATATTTATTTAGGCAGCCTTATACAATAAGCCCTATTTGAATTTCCTGTTGGTGTATGCATACTGGAAGTACGTTGAATGTTGAACGTTGTGGCTAGTTCTCCTCTCTTCCCCCCAGGCTTTCCAATTGGCCATCATCTCTTTATGTCTGGCGTCGGCCTTGGCCTGGTTGGCATCTAGTTTAGCCAGGAAATCTTCTTTGTCTTTCTTCCGATTGTCCTCCATTCTGTCTTGGTGGGTTCGGAACATTTCCTGCATCTGCACTAGGGTTTCAAACAGTTTTTCCATATCCTGTTTCTCCATTTTGTAGCAGTAACTTAAGGCGTGTTTAAGTTCGTAAACCAATTCTGACACCAATGTAGCATGTTTTGTGTGTCACGCTGCAAATAAGTTTACGCCGTGTTATTTGATATAGCGAATTTATTCCACTCGCTCACCTTACACACTTTACAGTCATTACCACTTGCAGTGTTACAAATACTGCTCACACAATGTCTCGGCCGATACTCGACTGTCTTCTCTGGCAGTTTATAGCAGACTCTGTGCGAATGCATTCAACCCTGTTTTATAACCTCGGCTGCTGCTATGCAACGAACCCTTTGTTATAACCATGGAGACTCCTGTTAGAACTACAATAGAGCGATTGTTGTTTCCTATGCAACGGTCTGTTCTAGCGTTTCCATAGAAGTGACTCTTCTGGATTCCCAAAACGTTACAATACAATTTAATAACTACCTAATGATGACCAGTCTCCACCACTAAATGATAATGACACACATTTGTACCCATATTACATGGAGTCATATGGTCATGAATAGTGAATTAAGAGGCATCTTGAAGGAAGTATTCATAACATATATCTGTATTTTTATTTAATTCCATAGAACCTTACTGGCTACCAAAGCCATCCGGTATCATGTATATACTTTAGAAACAAATATCAGATTATAATCACATAATGTACTATAGAAACTTACTTACTTACTTACTCATAGAGCTGAGCCCTTCTGGAGGAGCCGCCAATTCTGCAGCTACTCAAGAATTTCCCAGTATTTTATGGAACCCGAAGGTTCATTACCATGTTCACAAGAGCCTTCCACTGGTCCATATCCTGAGCCAGATCTATCCAATCCATACCATCCCATCCTATCTCTCTAGGATCCATTCTAATATTGTCCACCCACCTATGCCTTGGTCTTCCCACCAATATCCTATACGCATTCCTTGTCTCCCCCATTCGTGCTACATGACCTGCCCACCTTATCCTCCTTGACTTGATCATTCTAATTATACTTGGAGAAGAGTACAAGTTATGAAGCTCCTCATTATGCAGTTTTCTCCAACCTCCTGTCACTTCATCTCTCTTCGGTCCAAATATTCTCCTCAACACCCTGTTCTCAAACACCCTCGGTCTATGTTCCTCCCTTAATGTCACACGCATACAGAACCACAGGCAAAATTATGGTTTTGTATATTCTAATTTTTGTTTTTGGACAACGGACGAGAAGACAAAAGGTTCTGGACTGAATGGTAGCAAGCATTACTCGAGTTCAATCGCCTCTTAATTTCCTCCTGAATCAGGTTTCAATCTGTTATCGTTGTTCCCAAATATCTGAACTGTGCCACATTTTCAAAACATCTGTTTCCTATTTTTATGTCATGATTTTTCCCTGCATTTTGGTGACAAGACAGTAACATATACTTAGTTTTTTCTACTATAGAAACAGCATTATAAAAGGTTTAATTCATCTTGTATTTAAAATATTCATCTAATGTATAAAATGAATGGAAATACAAAAAATTGTTCAAGGCTGATGTAAATTGTTTTGTATTATGGGACAAATCCTTTATTGGAACAGGTAAACTGTTAAACATCTTAATCCCAGTATAATATGTTCCCTTCTGATAAATTGACAAACGAGATGGTGGATGATGCAAATCACATTTGGTCCTATTATTAATATTATGTATCTCAATTTACTGTTTATTACTAATCAGAGTGAATATATATACTGAGATTGTAGTGGTAATATTTATTCTCTAAAATATTCTCTACATGAATCTCTATCTCTAATCCCCAGCATAATTCTAATAATTTTTTTTTGTATTCTAAAAATTATATTTCTGTAACAAGAATTTCCCCAAAATATTAGTCCATAAGTCATGACAGAGTGTAAATAGGAATAATAAACCATCTTCAATGATTCTTGGGACAAGAATGGCTTAATTGTTCTAATCGCGAAGCAAGCTGAACTTAATTTGGGCACAACTGAATCTATATGAGTCTTCCATGAAAATGTGTTGTCCGTTAGTCCAAGGAAATTTATATTACAAATGTTAACTATTTTGTTTCCATGCATTTTTTTTAATCAATTAAAGAACTAGTTTCAGTTATAAATTGCATAAATTGTGTCTTACTGACATTTAGTGACAGTAAATTAGTAGTGAAGGAACTGTTTTGTCCATTGTATGGAAAACTACAATCTGTTCATTTCACATTGAAACTTGAGGTGTCTTCTGAATAGAAGGCATATCACAGAACTAAGCCTAGTTGGTCATATCTTTTTGGTGTGACTTGATGGGCTGCATTTACAGGTGATTTGAAAATTCAGGTTTTAAATGTTGGTGAAAATTTGTGTAACAACGGTATCAGAATTTTTGGCTGTTAATGTATTTTCCTACAGGGACTGTACAACTACATAAAACAATACTTTATCACTGTCACACCTGCAGGCTTATTATTGCGTGACTATGAAATGTGAAGCACAAGAAAATTTTTAAGATCATATCCTTGCTGTATAGATCCACAAGGAATTGTAGCAGTCATTAGAGAGAGGAGAGGGTAGTGTTTGACCTATGGGAGGATTCTTCTGAGTCTTTCCCGTTCACTGTGATAGTGATCTCTCACATCAGCAGCTTCAAGTGTGATGGATTTCCGATGTGCCAAGGGGTATAACAGCTGGAACCTCACACTACTGTCACAGCCTTAAGTTATATGTAACGTTAAAATCTGGCCCAACTGAGCATGTTATGTCAAGGTGGTAATATCTGACTTTCATTAAGAAGCTAGCTGTTTTTTATCTTGTCCAGGACATCCACTATCACTATACAGACTGTTTTTCATAGTTTTTCAGTTACTAGGTAAATTCCAGGATAGTACCTCAAATTAGTCCATGACCGCTTCCATGTTCTTACCAGTGTGTCATCAGCCTACCAATGTAGTCTTGAGTTACAAAGGATTCATTAAATAAACCATAACTATATTAAAAAAATCTGTTTTGTGCATGTTTTTTGGCATAGTGCTTAAGCAAGAAGATGACTAAATATTTTCACAGGCTTACTTGTTCCAAGTAGGAGCTGGGATAGTGCAGTCAGTATAGCGACTGGTTACAGGCTGGACAACCGAGGGGTTCGGAGTTCAAGTCCCAATAGGGTCAAGAAATGTTTCTTCTCCATGACGTCCAGACTGGCTCTGGGGTCCACCCAACCTCCTATCCAATGGGTACCGGGGGCTCTTTCCCCAGGGTTAAAGCGGCTGGGGTGTAAAGCTGACCACTCACCTCCAACTAGTGCCGAGGTCAAGAATGGTGAAGCTGTACTGCCGCTCTGCTATACACCTTCATGACATTGTGCTTAATTAGTTAAGCACAGGGAGAACTTTACCTTTTTACTTGTTCCGAGTGCCAAGGTCTAAGAATTTGTTGAGACCAGTGATGTCATAAGAAAGAAGACATCCTTCACAACAGCTCTGCAATTTTCCTCATACTTTTTGTTACTTTTAAATTTAAGAACATATATACCGAACCTTGTATATTTGACTTTTTCAGCTGTTCAGTCATCAGGTAAATATGTCTAGTTTGCATCGTGACTGCCTTTTTATACATTTGTATCTTCTGTCATGTCACTGTGATGTAAAGTAAAAGTGTAACGAGGTGAGTGTGGTTAAGGCAATCAAGTGGGTTTCTCTCATGATGGCTGAATAGCAAAACTCTGATGTAATCATATTACTGCTTTATTGACAGATATTAATGGTGAAGCGAAATTAGTAAGTTAAGAAAAATGATAGAAGTGTACATAAATGTCGAGTTTTTGTGTTCTTTTTACAGCTTCAGACGTGTTTGAATACTTCTCTAGAACAATTATTGGTGATTTAAATTTCATATTGTAGATTGAGGGGGACAGTAAAGTAGTAATACAGTCTTGAACAGATCCATTAAGACATGGACTTATAAGTTTAAGAAAGGGTGAAAACAAAAGATTCTCTTTTAATTTCACATGAAATTGATTTTGAGCTTGCAAAACACCAGACAAAGGTGAAGTTGTATGTGAATTGCATTTGGCATCACCTTTGGCTTTAATTGAAAATTCTATACAGAATATTTTTATTTATGGTGATCACAACAGATGTAATTTTTTATTTAAAACTGTCAAGAGAATGTGAGTTTCTGTAGTCATACATCACTGAGGATAAGGATGCATACCTAAAACATCCATGAGATCTGAGAGAACAAGTGCCAGTATTGTGAAAAGATACAGGCTGGACAGCCAGGGTTCAATTCACAGCAGAGGCAAGATTTTTCTCTTTTCCATAGCATCCACACTGGTTCTGGGGTCCACCCCAGCAGTAAAGTGGCAGGGGCATGAAGCTGACCACTATCCTCCACCTAGTGCTGAGGTCAAGAATGGTGGAGCTGTATCTTCACTCCCTGTTTTCATGGTATGGTGCTTCATTAATTAAGCACAGGGCCAACTTTATCTTTTTACCCTTTCCCCTATAGTTACATCCCTTAACTGACAGTTCAGAACCACAGAATGTTCACATCTCAAGACAGAATTGTCATCATTTAAACATTTTTCCTGACTAGAATAATGTCCTGTTAATTTTTTAGTTTGTGTGAATTGTATTTCAGATAGATATGACTAACCCAGAGAATCTGTTAAAATTGACAAAGAAGGGCCGTACACTAATGGTGTTCGTAAGTGTTGATGGAAATCCCTCAAGAGAAGAAACCGAAGAGATTACAAAGTTATGGCAATCCAGTTTATGGAATAATCACATTCAAGCAGAAAGGTCAGACATACAGGGTGGGGCGCAGAAACTTCCTCTTTTTTGAAGGCAAATAAAAGAAAAATTATTGCTGATAGGCAAAAATTATGTTTAGCTAATGAAAGAACACACTTTAAAGTTTTAAATCATATAGTTTTAAACAAAATATCTTGAAGGTGGTGGCCACCATTCTCTATGCACTGATGCAACCGTTTTCTGAAGTTCCCCTCTGCACATTCCAACATGTGCACCGGAATTTTGGCTACTTCCTGCCGAATAACATTCTTCAGCTGAAGCAGGTTTGTGGGGCGACGTTTAAAAACCTCTGCCTTGAGGTATCCCCATAAAAAAAAATCACAGGGAGTTAGATCAGGTGAGTGCGCTGCCCACGGGATGTCACCTCGAAGCAAGATGAGCCATCCGTGGAACTTTACCCTCAAAACTGTCATTGAAGCTCGGGCTGTGTGGACCGTGGCACCGTCCTGTTGGAACCAGACATTTCCTAGATGCATTTCTTCAAGAGCTGGTTCGAAAAAGTTTTTAATCATGTCCACATACCGCTGTGAATTGACAGTAACTGCATGATTGTCTTCTTCAAAAAAATAAGGGCCAATAACTCCAACTCTCGACAACGCACACCATCCTGTCACCTTATCACTGTGAAGTGGCCTCTCATGGAGCTCTCTGGGATTGTTACGACTCCAATAGCGCATATTCTGCTTGCTGACATATCCAGATAGGTGAAAATGTGCCTCATCACTAAAGTGAATCAAGGAGTAAAGTTTCCAGTAACGTTTCACATGCCGTTATTTGGTTCTGGATACCACATGGTGACAATTCTTGCACGATGTTCGTGAAGAATTTGGTGCATTGAACGATTGGATATGTCTAGGGCGACTTGGAGATCTCAAAATCGACTGTCGAACTGCCTCCACATTTTCTGGCATCGTAACGGTCCATTGTCGTCCTGATGATTTTTTCACCACACTCCCAGTTGTCATAAAGTTCTCTACCCACAAAACAATCGATTTCTGGTCAGGAACCGGACCTCTGGGCCTAATTCCGAAGTGAGTACCAAATGCACGCTGCTCACTCGTCCACCTCATGTTTCCTACTAAGGGTATTAGACAGAAACTTCCGCAACTGCTGCATTCGCCGAGCCTATCCCCACTTTTCTGCGACCTCCCCTCCTTTCACAATGCGCCTTCACAAAAAGAAAGAAAGTTTTTGTGCCCCGTCCTGTATATCATTTAGGTGCTGTCCATGCTTTGAGATCTTGTCATTCACAACAAATGTGCACTGGATTTGGTCTAGTCCTTTTAAATGAGATATGTGTCATAGGATATTGTCTCTAACAGGGCCTTAGTTACAGTGCATCATGCTCCCTCCTTCCCACCCACAGCACATCTGAAACTACTGCCCTGCTCCTTCTTGCCATACCTTTCCTCACACAGAACCCAGAAGCAAGGTAAAAACATGACCTGTGCTTAATATGGTGAAATTTCATTATACTAGGGGCGTTCCATAAATAATGCCTCCTATTTTTTTGTGTTAATATGTAACGTCTGAGATGGATGGTGGTGGTGTTGTAGTAAAGGTTGAACTTTCCCACCAATCTGCTGTTAGTTTGGTTGTCATGCGACAGCGACAGCAGAGCATTCTACCAAAATGGTGTCTGACATAGAAGTGCATATGAAACACAGGTGTTATTGAATTTCTCACTGCCCGAACAAATTGTACCCACTGACATCCATTGACACTTGCTAAAGGTGTACGGAGACAATACAGTGGAAGTCAGCACAATGAGGCGGTGTGTAGTGCATTTCAACAGAGGCAAAAGTGAAGTGCACGACAAGCCATGCCCTGGGCGTCCCTGCTCAGCTGCCACTCCTCACAATGAACAGCGCCTCATCCATACAGATTAGCAGATAACGACCAGGGACTGTCAATTCTGAACGCTACAAAACGACGCTGAAACGACCAAGCTGAAAGCCCGCATTTCCTGAGTCAGGCCAAAGAAGCAGACAACCTTTTGCTTGCAACACGATAATGCTAGACCTCATACAAGTTTGGTGACCACCACGCACATTGCAAAGTTTGGCTGGACTGTCCTACCACATCCACCTTATAGCCCCGGTTTAGCACCTTCAGGCTTCCATCTCTTTGGGCCTAAGAAAGATGGACTACGTGGGCAACAGTTTCCAGACAATGATGCTGTCATTGCAGCTGTAAAAAGTGGCTAGCCTCTGCTGGCGCAGACTTACAGGCTCTTGTTAATCGCTGGCAAAAGTGCATAACAAATGGTAGTGATTATGTGGAAAAATAACTGTAAGTAGCTGAAATCTTGCTCTATTTAACTGCATTATTATGCTTTCTGTATCTGTTGTAGTTTTCTTTAAAAAAATATGAGGCATTATATACGGAACGCTGTAATATATGTCTGAGAATCTGACTTTTTCTAATTCACACCTGTACTGAAATGATGTGAAAATAGTGCTCCCCATATACAGCGATTCTTAATTACTCTGCTGTGGATCAAGCAGCATGGAAGGTGGCTGGGGGATCCCCATTAGTTGAGGGTAGGTTACAACAGGAATGGAGCGGGAGAAATAATATATTGTAGGAGGGAGACCTATCTAAAAATGGTGTAGGAGTTTGTGGGGGTAGCCAGAAATTGATGCAGCATGGTTTTATGGGATATGTTGGGCTTAAGCATCCTCACACTCATAAGTAGCAGCAGGACATTGCATGTTCCTCTCAAATGCCTATACAAGCTTACAAGACCACAATCTGAACATGCACCACTGTGAAAACTTCAAAACATGTATACATGTTAGCAAATATATATATATATATAGACGTACAATGAATACTTAATACAATATACCAGTACTACAGTAATGTCACATGTGCTTCAAACAGAAATAAAACACTGAACAGATAAAATATTAAATTATTACAAATGTCTACAAGGAGTATAGTCTGGATATACAACTGAGTGGTTATAATGTTACTATGAAATATGGCATTGTAATCTTCTTCATTAGGTGAATATCTTCCCAGTAATGTTACAGATTTGCTGGTCATGGTAGCCAAGCAGTCTAAGGCATGTACTATCTTTGCTCGCTTGGAAGCCAGGATCGTGGGTTCCAATCCCACACAAGGCATGGATGTTTGGTGTGTGTTTGTGTTGTCCTGTGTTTAGGTAGAGGCCTTTTGATGAGCTGATCACCCATCCAGGGAGTCCTACTGTCTGTAAAAATGTTCAGTGAAACTGAGAATTGAGCCCTATGCTCCAAAGTGGGAGCAAAGAGGAAGGAAAAAAGTTACAGATTTCTTAAACTGTTATGTGATATTTTGTACAGGCTGTGGTGTGGTATCTGGTGTACTGAATCTAGGAAGACTGTATCCTTCACAAGACTAAACAGGAACCAAGTTCCTGCTACAACAATTATAAATATGACAACCATCCACTGAAGAATACTTTAATATCTGCATATATTGCATAACATCATAATTACTTAGTTTGCACATCCAGAATACTCCTTACTGGACACAGCTAACAGTTTAATATTGTAACTCTGGTGTTTATTTAGTGGATATGTCAAACTACTATATGATTAATATACTATTAATTGTTTTAATTAATTTTACTTAATTGTTTTAACTATTATGTATATTTATGCTAATACATATAATAAACATGTTTAAAAAATTAGGGAGGGGCCACATAAGAACAGGAACAGTGAATTCTGTATAGTGACTGGTTATGTGCTGGACTGCTATGGGTTGAGTCCTGGTAGGAACAAGATCTTTCTTCTCTTTTCCTGGGAGTAATGGCCATGGTGTGAGCATGACCACTTACCTCAAACTAATGCTGACGTCAGGAATGCGTGGATCTATACATCCGCTCCCCCATATTGTGGCATTATGCTTAATTAGTTAAGCACAGACTTTTGTTTTTACCTTTTTACCATGCAAGGTCAAAACATGAAGCTCAGTTGTTATAATAATTAACTGATGATATGTGTAGATAATTTTGTAATATCATTAATGTAGGATTTGAGGTTCTCATAGTGGTGGTTATGAAGAGTTCTGTTTTCAGGGATTTAATGCCATATAGTCCATTGAAAGTTGACTGACATTTCAGAGCACTCCTTGCCACCTGCTTCATGCTGGCTTCATGCTTGGCTTATTCTCCGAAGATGGAGGCGACATTTTCCTCTGAAACATCACTTGGCTTCCAGCGGACTACATAGTGTCATATCCCAGAATATAGAACTCTTCAATATCATTGTTGTTTGTGCCTAATATTTCTTCCCTGTAATTAAGTTTTCTTTTGGTTCATGTTTTCAGATATCTGGTGTCAGATGATAGATCCATATTTTTGTTCAAGGATGGATCTCAGGCTTGGGATGCAAAAGAATTCCTAATTGAACAGGAAAGATGCAAAGTAGTAGTAATAGAAAATAAATCTTATTATGGTAAACATACAGAAGAGGTAAGGATATAGTACTTAAGGCTATGGGAAACCATTCTGATAGCATGGTCATTGTTTGAACATTTAAATCTAATTAAGCAAAATGTTTACAGTATAAAGAAGAAGCTGATGAAAGGAAGACAAAGAAAGATGAGCTGTAAGGAGAGTACATCTCTGTGCTGAAGAAGTATGACTGATTTTTGTTAGGATCAAATCATTGAATATGTGTGACATTTTTATAAAGGGAAACTAAGCAGTTTAAACTGTTAGTGAGTTTCTACATAAAACTGCACAAAAATGTCTTTACTGTTGTTTATTTTTTCCATGTTAAGTGGGTATCTACAAACGTATCAATAAGTAGCTACCAACAGCTTACAAGGAGTGGTCCTCCAGCTTGAGAGTTTGGTATGGAGCTAATAACTCCCTACTGTAACTCCCCTCCTCCCCCCCCAAAAAAAGAGAAACTGTTACAAAATGTTTCATAGGGCCTCATACTTTGGCAAATTCTTTGGAATGATGTAAGCAAAGGAAAATAGGCCAAATAGTGGCTGACGTACCAAGTGGACTATCTCACCCCACCCTAAGGAAGAAACTTATGCTACAGTATTTATCATGTATTGTAAATGATTTCCATTTTCCTCTGTTATCCATTTTCCTCCTCTCTCTATGAAATTTGTTTTAATAATAAAATTTGGTCTCTACAAAATGAAGTAACAGCTCTGGGAAGCTGAAGAATTAATCTGGAAGCATTTCTGTTGAACATTTCATTTGCAAAAACACATTCGCAGTGTTGCAGTTGTCATGTTTGGAACACTCATCAGGCATGAAAGACACTGCTCTAGTTCAGTTAAAGTTATGCAAAGATGCAACAAGATCAAAGCTGGTCTAACATTCGAACTGTTTGAACTTCAGTGCGGAAAAATCTCATGTGATAGCCCTCAGTGACGAAACATGGCACGTGAAAACTACTGTGCACCAGGCACTTGGTAGTATGAATTTTTAAACTGAACTGCTAACAGGGAAGGAAGTCTACTGCCTTGAACAAGAAACTGAGAACTGTACTACAGATTTTCATGGTAAGAACTAGAAAAATGAAGTCCAAATTTGGGGAACGTGTAAATTCACAAAAACCGTAAGATCAAATTATCGCTTTATGTGTTCATGTCCTGTCACCAGAGTACAAGTCCAAATCATAATGTTGTGCCCTGAAGGCCGACTCCCGGTAACATGTTAAAAGAGTATTTAACTTTTTGTATTTTAGGGGAAAATGTTGGTTGGAATAGAATTAGTCTTGGGAAATACTTGTAAGATGTATGAAAGAGGATGTAAGAAGGGTTAACAAACTTCAAGGAATTTCTGCGTATGGAGTTAGGAGGCCGTTAGCCTTTGACGCATCGATGTCTTGTCAGCAGAATGACGTTGAATGTATATCGAACTGCTAACTACAGAATTTACACTTGAGTGAAGGGAGGGATGTTTGCAGGCAAAAGTGTTAGCCAAATGGTCTAGCAGACAAGGGGCGTGTCCATCATCTTAGGATCCCAGCCAACGAGATCACCCACCTTGGGATAAGACGTTATTGGAGGCGGATTTACACCCCCGGGAAAGTAATGAGTTAGCATGAATAAAGGTATATAACCCGGAGAGCAAATTATTATGGGAATCATTCAAACAGTAATTTTGGCCCGTTTGCGGCTGAAGGCCATACCAGAAGGGGCACTGACTAGACACCAGGCAACGCCATCCGTCTGCAGACTCAACCCAAAGTAAGTGGAACTACTCTTTATCGCCATGCTTAATAATTGTGATATTATTAAAGTGTAATCCCTCCAATGGGACTTCGAGTTAGGAACATTACAACAAGTGTACAGGGCATAAGAGTGATCCAACGGAGTGATACAGTAGACAGGTGTAATGTAGAGACTGCAGAGGGTGTGTCTAGCGGCAGGGATGTGTAGATATATATATAGTGGCTGAGTAGAATAGGAGGAGGAGACTAGCGACCTGCAACTGGGTGAAAGGAAGGCTAAGATGTGGTCCAAGAATCATCAAAGAAAGTGTAATGTGTAACCTGACACCAGTCAGCTCTTTAATTGTGATATTACCAAAATGTATATAACTGTATATTGGTTGTTATACTAATATACGGTAGCATAGGGTGAGGATGTGGGTTTCTGTTGTGATTTCCCCCCTTACCACACTTCGCACCTGCGCCCTCCTGACAAGGCCCATGAACTGTGTGCCTCTAGCCAATGAAGCAAGGATTGAGGAAGTAATTCAGTAGTTTCCTTAGCCCACCCCCTGTGACTGCAGTACAGAAGGTGACAGCGGGATGCCTCCACGCCCCCCATCACCACGGCATAACACACAACATAAAGATGGCTAATAAATTCTTTCAAAATGTGACAGAGCTGGAATATTTGTGAACTGCAGCAACTAATACAAATCTGATTCATAAGGAAGTTACAAGCAGATTAAATTTAGGTAACGCTTACTACTGTTCAGTTCAGAATCTATCTTCTTACCTGGTGTTTCAAAACATAAAGATGGAAATTACAATTCTATAATTTTGCCCATGGTTTTTAATAGGTGCCAAACTTGATATCACATGTTAAGGGAAGGACACAGGTTGAAGGCGTGTGAGAACAGAGTGCTATGGAGAGTATTTGGATCAAATATGGGTGAAATATTATGAGGTTGGTGAAAACTGCATAACAAGGAGCTGAACAACTTGTACTCACCAAATAGTAGAATGATTACATTAAGGAGGATGAGATGGGCAAGGCTTACAGCATACATAAGAAAGGCAGGCATACCATTTTTCGGTAGGAGAATAGGGATATGGGTGGGAGGGTAACACTGAAATGAATCTTGGAGAAAAAGAATGGGAACTGTGAACCAGATTCATCTAGCTCAGGATTGCAGGCAGTGATGGGCTCATTGAGAACACAGTAATGAACCTGGTTACACAAAATGACTGAATTATTTATGGGGCTGAGCAACTGCTGGTTTCTCAAGGACTCCAGTCCACACAGTTTGTTTCAGAGTTATGTATTTCTTAGTTTTTTTTTCCAAATTACTAAATATAATGAAACAAGCACACGTTAAATACAAAGGAACCAATATTTACATGAAACAGGTGATGTTAAGAAATAATTTTTAAACAAAGATTATAATTACTTGACTTTCTTTCTTAAAAAGACATATCAACTGTAATACTTGTCTTGTTTTTCATCTCCTCGGCTGATTGCAGTAACTTCTCTCCTGATTTCATTCACAACATTTGCCAGTGCTTCTGGACTTGTTCCCCTTTCACATAACTGAATGCAAATACTAAGTGTCTCTGGATCCAAACCCGTATTGAGAAGTCTGGAAATTTCCAGTAGCACATGAAATACCTCTCGGGCTTCACACACTTGGCTGCTGCCAGAATGGGCCATCCTTTGTGCTACTGGCAGTGTTTATCTAAGGAGAAAAAATGTTATATTTTGTATATTGATGCCATGTTATATTTGTAGTATTCGTATGTTTTATAAAGCAGACCAGTTCAAAATCTACATATCTGTAATAATTTATATATCCTCTATGATTTCTTCCAAAAGACCGGAATATATACACAAAACCAAAATACGTCGCACACAATACCACACAATAGGAAAAATTTACGAAACTAAGACTACATACACTGCCCACTAAATCTGTTAGTTCAACCTACTTCAACCAACCACTAACGCTGTCTAATTTCATTCTGATTAATATTATTAAAGGACCAAACACCGCCACATTCCAAATACATGATCAAGCGCGTTCAAGGGTTTTATACTGAACGATAACTGCTTAGTGGCGAATAGTACGCACTTAATTTGTTATACAATGCCTTTGATCGCCTTTGATTTTCAAGCAGACGATTAAATTACTCAGCCTAAATAAATTAAATTAAATTATTTTCGTGCAAATGCTTACCGAACTTCTGGAATTATCAATGTATATATTTTCGTTACCGCCTCCAATAAGGCAAATACCTTACATTTTAAAATATAATTCTTGCCTAAAACACAACGTTAACCAATTCACATACTTTCCGCTTTATTTTTTCATCTCCGCTCCGATCGTTCCGAGCGATGCAAGCAACCGCTACAGTGCAGACAACCGCGCACAATTTGTCACCAATGGAATATGGCTTTACTGAGGGCTGAGATTGGATCAGATACGTATCACATGGTCGGTGTCGGTCGGTGTATTGTGAAGATTGTTGGCTGCTACAGATGAGGAAAGATGAGTAACCAGTTCTGCATTAAGAATTGGACGACAGTGGCGGTCTATGCAGAAAACAATTACGCACATTTCACATCTACGATACCAATTGCCTGGGGCTACGGGTTAATCAGCATCCTCATGATCCTCATGACATACTTGAAAGCACCCTACCATGGCCTTCTAAAATACAGATAAATAAGTACTTTACTATGGTCAACACTTTTGCATTTTGAAACGCATCACAAGTCAGCTGACTGGATTGAAGCTACTAGTTCTTTAAATAGGAAGAAGCATTTTGTGATAAATTTTTTAAATATGGCACTACATTCAGCAATAAAGGGGAAGCTTGTCTCTGTTATAGGTGACGAAGTAAGTGGTCAGGCATATTTCTGGAGTTCTGAAAAATAATATTAGGTCTTGTCAAACAGGAAACTGTCACGAAACTTGTTAAGATATAACTCAATATACATGTATTTTGTTCATTTCTAGGATACCTGTGTGGGCTTTCTTCTCGGAGGAGTTGGAGAGATAAATAAAAATAGACATCCAAATTTTATGGTAGTTGACAAGAGTAAGTATTATCCATAGATATTATTTTAAGAGTTTGTACATGAAAACCAGTCAGAATTTTAACATTTTTAGACAAATTCAGTTGAATGTTTTTCTTCAAGGTATTCCATGTAAAAGATTAAACTGAATTTCAGTCTTTGGTAAAGAAAAGGATTTGGGGCAGTATGCCCAGAAATACACATAGTATCGGGTAGTGTCTGTCTAAAACAACATCAGAGCATGGCACATTTTCCAGCAGTTTTTGCTGCTTGGGCTATTGTATTCATGCCAGGAGAAAAAGAAGTATGTGTTATTGTGCTGGTAACTGGATACAGTGATTTTATATCTGTGATGATCATAAATGTAAATGTTCTGCTTGTTCTGCTATTGAAGAAACAAAGAAAACTTATTTGAAGTACCAATGCAAGTACGGCTTAATCTTAAATGGCTTGGAAGCAGTTCTGAGTATAACTGAACTAGAGCAGTGATTTGTGATTTATAATTAGATGGTGGGAGAAGACCACTGTTATACAAAAGGTAGTGCAATGGTACTTATGACCTTCCCTACCATATTAACCTGTGTGATATGGAAATTCCATCAGATGTATGAGGTTGTTTTCTTTCTTTCTTTTTTTTTCCTTAGTGGGGGGTGGAGTCCAACTAAGTCCACTTGGCATGGCGGCCACTGATTGGCTTATTTTAGCCTGCCCAGGGTGATTATGATGATGGAGAATTTGGTGGAATGAAGATTGGCAAGGGAAACCAAAGTACTAGGAGAAAACCCTCCCTAGTACCACTTTGTCCATCACAAATCCCACTTGACCAGACCTGGGATTGAACACAAGCCACCACGGTGGGAAGCCAACGACTAACCGCTTGAGCTATGGCGTGGCCTGTATGAGGGTAAGTCAATAAGTAAGTTACAAATGGATATAGAACTTAAATAAGAGTACTAATTTGAAAAATGCTTTTATTTCTCAACATAATCTCCCTGTACATCGAGGCACTTGTCCCATCATTTCATAAGGCCCCGAAAACCAGCATAAAATTCTTTGGGCTGCTGTCAGAACCAGGCCGTGACTTATCTTTCTACAGCTTCATCATCGGGAAAATTTTCAGCTGAAAGATGATGTTTAAGAGGGCTGAACAAAAATGTAAATCTCTTGTAGCAAGACTCATCACCCGTGACAGTTTGAGCTAGCATATCGTGTCCATCATGGTAGCGATTGAGATGCTGTAATGCCAGGCCCGAAAACCCAACCTGTCATGTGACTTCCATTTGTTGGCCCCTCTTAAACATCATCTTTTGGCTGAACATTTTCCCCAACGATGAAGCTGTAGAAAGGGAAGTCACGGCCTGGTTCTGACAACAGCCCAAAGAATTTTATACTGCTGGTATTCAGGGGCTTGTGAAACGATGGAACAAGTGCCTCAATGTACAGGGAGATTATGTTGAGAAATAAAAGCATTTTTAAATCAGTACTCTTATTTGTTTAGTTTCTGTATCCATTTGTAAGTTACTTACTGACTTACCTACGTATATTGGGACAAAATGGCATAGTCGTTTTCCTTTTGGGATAAAATTGAGTCAAGATTACTAAAGTGTATGAGGCAGATTTGTGAATGGTGCACACAAACCTATGCATATGTACACACACATACATCTGTTACAAAATATTTTATAACATTTCATATATTCCAATCTTAAGGACCTAGATTACTTCTTTATATGTTTATTTTCAGATACCAGTGTCAGCGAAATTGAAGAATGCTTCAAGCGATTTGTGAAAAGAGATGATATAGATATCATCCTCATCAATCAAAATGTAATGTAAATTATTATTATTATGATTTTAGATTGCCTAATGAGTATAAATTTTTGGCACATTCCCAGTGAGAAGTTGCAAAGATGAGCCTCACTCTCTATCATGTCTGTCTCTCCATTTGTTTCAATGCAGTAACTCATGTCACCATTGCCTATCAGTAATGTTATAGCATATATAGTTAGGATACAAGAAAACAAGGAGGATTGCAACTGAATGGAATGGTCTACACTAGGCATGTCAAACTCAACTTGTACAGAGGGCCACCTCAGCCCTGTAAATAATAGTCCAGGACCGCACTTCAAAACAGAAATATACATAAGATTTTGATACAAGGAAATTTAATTCTATTTATTATTTAGGAATAATTTCAATATAATTAACTAAAGTGGATCACTTATATTTTGCCCACAAATCAAACATGTAATTTTACCTTCTATTTCACAACAGCGATTTCCCATTTTTCTTGAAATACACGGCGCTCACTTTCAATAGTTCTTTTAAATTTTTTGAAAGCGACATTGCCCTTTAAAAGTTACTGTACATATACAAGAAAACTCGTAGTTGATAATTTAATGTTTAAGTATAACCTTTATACGTTCATCACAATGTAACATCAGTGCCTGTTGCTGTGTGAAAATGAACTGAATGACAATGTACAAGAGACTACTGGACTAGTAGGAAGGTGTATCTTGTCTCAATGGTCATAAAAGTGAAAGTTTGCTAGCAGCCCATTAGACAATGGCTGGGGGTTGCAAGCTAGTTT